CAATAACTGCTGAATCAACAATATTATTACCCTGTGTTTTACAAAATTTTGGAAAAAAATAGATCTACAACATTTTCATTAATTGTCACATTTTTTTTTAAGATGATCATATCTATCCACAAGTCAATTGTGTGGAATACGGGCATGAACTTGAACATTCTGGATGTTCCAACTTGACCTTATCTTTTATCCAACAAGATGAACAGATATGTTGAGATAATCTTGCAATGCCCTTAACAACAGTAATATGAGGCGCTTTTTGCTGACATTTATTTCTTTGAAATTGACTACAGAACCAAACTCTTTCTGTAGTAACACTAGTATCTGATCTACTTTTTTCAGTCTTATGACGAACATTCATTGATTTTTTGTTAACATTACTCACATGACTAGATAAAATTGCCGATTCAACATATTGATACGAATCTCCCCATTTAAGATGGCCTAGTTCAATCTCTCTTAAAACAGCTGCATACAAATTCTTAACAACTACAAAGTCATAGGAAGAACAAAGATACATAAGTTTCTTTAATAACTCAAGTCTAGCCTTACGTTCAGAAGCTTGCATAGACGGGGATGAAATAATTTCTAATTCCCCTGCAACAAACAAATTCCATTCTAATTTGTCAAATGTAATTGAGCTAGTGACATATTCAAATCTTAGACTGGATTGAGGATATTGTTGTCTACTGACTACTTTATCCCCAGCCTTAGCCAAAATACCAGACCTAATTTTATTCTTAGAATAATGAAAAGTATCAACATCAGAATCTTCTGATGAACTTAAACAATTAGACACCTTTTTCTTCATATTCTTTGATATCTTATTCAAACTTTCATCACTGCAAGTGTCTGAATCTGAATGAGAAAAAATATCCAAACCAATTTTACTAATTTTCGACTTTGCTTTCCTTCGTAGATCTGTGTTTTTTCTCAAGTCATTAAGCGTAACATGCTCAATATCTACATTTTTACTTGAATCATCAATAACTGGTTTTTTACTAGAATACAAATTGATACCTCGTACGATCTCACCTCTTAATTTTTTAACGTCCTGTTTCTTCTGTTCAATTTGTTTTCTCAATACGTCTGCTTCGGATAACTGTTCCTTAAGAACACGTTCTTCTTGTTGTAAGGCGCTCAGCTCCTTCTTCATCTGAATGATACCAGAATCAGTCTGACGACTTTTTCTATTCAAGTCTGTATCCCCAGAAAATTCATCATCCTCGTGAAAACTGACATTTTTAGCGGAAGCGGAAGTTGGCAACAAGGTCGCTTGTGTAGTTTCCTCGGAAAACAATTTAATATCTTCCATGTGTTCCTCTGTCCAGAAGGATTCCTGGTCTTCATCTCCGAATCCGTCATTTAACAATTTATAGTCCACTCTTTTACCTCTAGAAGGTAATATTTTTTTCTTCTCCAGTTCCTTGGACGCCATGTTAGTCCCAAAATACAAACAGCTTACGCGGCACGAAGTACCGAAATAAAGTTTATTCGTATTCAACGAAATATTATATTTACTGAATACGAAAACTCCTCTTGGTATGCACTATAAAATCCTGATGAATAATACACAAGTCCATAAATCAAATAAAATACCAACATATGTGGAACAATTCTGTAAAATTTGTGTAAAATAGAATTTTCAACATGTGATCTTCTTGTCAAACGAATACAGAATGAACCAAAAAGGCAGAAGCGCAAGAGACAAAAAAGTTTACCGCCAAAAATATAGGCGACCAATAGAAAGTTGTTTACTGCCTACGTAATGCATAAATTAAAATCCACCAATGAAAAAGAGTTTTTAAAAAGGTCAAATTCATTCAACCTTATAATTAAGTTATTTTAGTTCAAAATAAACAACATGTACAGACTCAATAAAACCTGGGTCTGTAATTTTCATGTAATTTTGTTGTGATTAATGCTTCCGAAGGATCACTTTGTTTCCAGATTTTTCACACTGGATATATTAACCTAAATCACATTTTTCACACCAGTAGTCATGACAATGACCATTTGTGTTTCAATGTCTCAATAAATGATAACTAAATAGTTCGAAATACACATTTTCATATTTTAATCTGAACTTTGACACCTATGTTTGACCTTGACCTTAGCCACGACATAAATTTTGCACAGGACACTGCCTTATATTGGTGAACATTTCTGACAAGTAATATTGAAATCTCTGTTTACATGTCTACAGACGTTGCTCTGGGCAAGTGTTTTTCTATGACCTCTAGGTTAAGTGTGAATTTGACCTTTGACATAGAGACCTATTCCATGCGCATAACACTGCTTCTCATATAGTAGAATATTTGTATGAAGTTTCATTTGAATCCCTATAATATATGTAGGAAATATGCTCTGGACAAAATCTCTATATTTTATCAATTTTAGTGACCTCCGGACAAATGTTTATTTCAATGACCTATTGACCTCTATGTATGACCTAGACCTTTGACATGGTTCATGTGTGCGACACAGCTTCTCATAATGGTGAACATATGTATTGAGTTTCATTAGAATTCCTCCATGCATGTAGGAGCTATGCTATGGACACATATTGGACGCGCTCACACACCCACCCGTAGGAAACTATAATACAACCCGTTTTTAAACTCTGGCGTATAAAAATTATGATGACTGTTAAAGTTTGTGGATGGCAATGGCAACATGCGAGGCAACGGGAACGCCACCATGATTGTGACAATAACTTTTCTTTGCCTTTGAGAAAAAGTTGAGCTAAAAAAATATCATTGATTCATACTGCAATACATATTACCTCAAAGCAATCATGTATTTACCTATTTTATCTAGAACTGCCACTGTCTTGGCGTGAATACCCACGCATACCACTTTGTCAGAATCAACCTCCCTGCCAAATCTGAGGTAAGTAAGCCAGTGCATTGCTAAGTTATGTATTCTAAATGCGTAAAATGTCAAAATCAATACACTGCAGACAGGCATTCTTGTAAAAGCCCGTGACCTTGACCTTTGACACAGTCTTCAAAAAATCAATAGGGGTCATCTACTAGTCATAAACAACCTCAATGCCCTATATGAAGACCGTTGACCAAAGCATTCTTAAGAAATTGAGCAGACAAGCTTTTTATAGTCAAGGCCCTTGGGACAATGACCTTTGACCCAGTAGCCGCAAATTCAATAGGGGTCACTTAATGGTCATGATCTCCATGCTAAATATGAAGACTGTTGGTCAAAGTTTGTTTGTTTGTTTCATTTTACGCCTTTTTCCAACAGTATTTCAGTCATATCGGCAGGTAGTTTCCTAACCATCTTTCCTGGAGAGTTACACCAGTACTAGAATACCTTCCTCCGCGCCAAACTACCAAAGCATCTCCCGGGGATTCTTAAGTTATTGGGCGGACAAACTTTTTGAAGTTAAGTTAATCAATATTAATAGTGGTCATCTAATTATCACGATTAACCTCCATGCCAAATATAAAGTCTGTGGGTCATAGGATTCTTAAGTTATTGGGCGGACAAGCCTTTTTTTAGTCAAGGCCCTTTGACCTTGACCTATGACCTAGTGACTTCAAAATCATTGGGGTCATCTATTAATCATAACCAACCTCAATGCCAAATATGAATACTGTTGACTGAAGCAATCTTAAGCAATTGAGTGGACAAGCTTTTTGAACTTTAGGCCCTGTGACCTAGACCTTTGGCCCAGTGACCTCAAAGTCTATAGGGGTCATCTGCTAATCTTGACTAACCTCCATGCCAAATATGAAGACTATGGGTCAAAGGAATCTTAAGTTATCGGACGGACAAGCTTTTTTTAGTCAAGGCCCCTGTGACCTTGAACTTTGACCCAGTGACTTCAAAATCAATAAGGTTCATCTACAAATCATGACTAACAACCATGCCAAATATGAAGACAGTGGGTCAAAGGAATCTTAAGTTATTGGGCAGACAAGCTTTTTTTAGTCAAGGCCCCTGTGACCTTGACCTTGAACGGACGGCCGGATAGACAAGCTGATTCCAGTATACCACCCTTACAACTTTGTTGTACAAGGGTATAACTAGAAGGATGCTGGTGATGTGCACAGCTAGGGATGGTACTGATCACTCCTGTAAAGTTTGGTTGAAATCCTACCAGTAGTTTGACCTGTGAAGGCCGGACAAGATTTTCCTCTGACTGCCATTTTGTGCAGTGAAGCGGAACATGCCAGTGATGTGCACAACAAGGGATTGTACTGATCACTCCTGTAAAGTTTGGTTGAAATCCAACCAGTAGTTTGACCTGTGAAGGTCAGACAAACTTAAAGTTGCCAGACAAGCTTAAAACGGACAGACATTCCAACATTTTGGGTTTAGGGGCTATTTTCTTTGTTAATTTCTTTTGTCTGCTTAAGGGCTACTAGCCCATAAACACTTTGATCACATAATGAACTTATTGCTCTCTTTACCGTTATAAAGCCCCTAAACCCAAAATGTTTGCTTGGACGGACAGACAGCAAATGCAAAAATAATACATATCCCAAAAAATTTGGGGGACATAATTAAATTGTATTAACAAGATTCATCATTGATAGTTGGCCACCTAAATTTTGCTAAATAAACATTTTTTTTATAAACAATAATTGCGAAGTTTTCCCTTTACACATATAGGGTAATAAGATCGCATTTGCCAGAAGCCAGCTTTTAACCTAATTAAATTGATTTGAACCAACAGTTTTTGATGAGAACAAATTTTTAAATTCTTTTCCTGTGATCTGCATGGAATGGAATGAAACTTTGATAATATATTATTGACACAAAGGTTTAAGAGATATTGTTTACACAAGTATTTGTCTACACAAGTATGGGCAATAGCCAGCCAGACAGACAGACAAACAAACAGAGACAGTGATTGATCGCAATAGCTCAGTGGATATTGACTGCTCTGGTGAGCTAAAATAACACAAATCTTACATTTGTTGTTTTCATACATTTTCTTATTTCTATCTCATTAAAATAAAATATTCACAAATACAAAATATTAATTCTATTTATTAGAACATTATGTGCATATAATTTCTCCTTGCTCCTGTCAATTAACAAATTATCACACTGTTCCAGTCAAATATTTACAGATATTTACATTTTAAAACTTCAAACCAATGTATAAAACAATGCCCACTATAAGTCAAAGTTCAATGAAGATAAGTCTAAAACTTAATTTCACACTTCATTCTCCATCCATTCATCCATAGTTGATGTTTTCCTTGCAATGATCTGAATAAAAAGAAAAAGGAAAGCTTGGTTAATTTTCTGCAACCATACAAATAAACATACGAATATATAATCTACTATTTAGTCTAGAAGCTATTTTCATTACGACCTTGACATTTGACCTGATGATAATGAAATAAGTCAATGTGTAGTAACAATGGACAACAATGCTTAGGTAATCAGGACAACCAGTGTTGCTATAGCAAGTTAGTGGATGTTATGGAAAGTCACTGGGTGCTAAAGTAATCTATGGTTGCTATGTGAGTCACTGGTAACTATGGAAAGTGTCACTGGTTGCTATGGATGTCATGGGTTGCTAAGGAAGTAAATGGCTGCTATGATAGTCAGTGGTTGCTTTAGGAATTTACTGGTTGTCATTGATGTCTAGGGTTGCTATGAAGAGTCACTTGTTGCTATGGAAGTAAATGGTTGTTTGGAAAGGCACTACATGTAGCTGCTATGGAAAGTTAATGGTTGCTATGACAAGTCTGTAGATTAAAGAATTATATTGTTGCTATGGAAAGTTACTGGTTGCTATGAAAGTCAATGGTTGCTATAGAAAGACACTTGTTGCAATACTGGATACTGGTTGCTATGGGAATTCAATGGTTGCCATGGAAAGGCACTAGTTGCTATGGAAAGTTAATGGTTGCTATGGCAAGTCATTCAGGGTTTGAGAAGTCTATTGTTTCTATAGAAAGTCACTGGTTGCTATGGAAGGCTATGGTTGTTATGGAAAGTCACTGGTTGCTATGGAAAGTCAATGGTTGCGATATTGCTTACTGGTTGCTATAGAAAGTCATTTGTTACCATGGAAAGGCACTAGTTGCTATGGAAAGTTAATGGTTGCTATGGCAAGTCCTTTAATGTAAAAGAAGTCTGTGGTTGCTATGGGAAGTCACTGGTTGCTACAGAAGTCTATGTTGCAAAAGAAAGTCACTGGGTGCTAAGGAAATCAATGGTTGCTATGGAAACTCACTGGTTGCTATGGAAAATCAATGGTTGCTAAGGAAGTCACTGGTTGCTATTGAAAGGCACTGGTTGCTATGGAAAGATACTGGTTGCTATTGGAGTCACTGGTTGCTATGGAAAGTCAATGACTGCTTTTGAAATGTCTGGCTGCTATGGAAAGTCAATGGTTGTTACAAGAGTCAATGGTTATAATGGAAAGTCACTTGTTGCTATGAGAAGTTACATTTAAGGAAAATCTATGTTCCCTGGAGTGGGGTCAATTTTGACTCCAGCGCTATAATTTAAATAATTTTTGTTGTCGAGGTTCACCCTAGTTTCAATCACTGTGACAAATTTTATCCCATATTTTGACCTAACTATCGTATAACACTAAAACAGTTTATAGACCTAAAAATCCAGAAAAAGGGAAATCCCCTCATAAGCATTGTGAAAACTACAAAATTAAATGAAAATTGGTTTGATTCTGTTCATGAGATATATATTGTAAAAGTGCAACTTATTTCATGCCCCTTAGGTCTTGCCTAGACATTTTAAAAAAATTGGAAAAAGATGTGATCTCTTGGAAGCAATGAAAACAAAAAACTTAAATGTCAATTGCAGACTCCATTTGAATCTGTTCATGTCATAGGGATAATGGCAAGTATAGGTTCATATATATATATATATGATTTCTATCACGTTGATTTGGAAGAATTTGAATTAAATTGTGGATAATGATACACTTTGAATATCAGAGCATTAAACTTACATACCTTCTTATTGCCTACTTCTTTCCTCCTCTACCAGACCGGATTGAAATTCAATTTTCTGAAAATATATGTGAAAAAGGAATAAATTATTTTTTTGTTGTATTTTTTTTTCATTGTAATAATTATTTCAAACATAGCAATCATTTATTTAAAACAAGATTTGGGGTGTGACTCCTGTCTGAAGTGATTATGATACAAACAAGAGATAGAGATACAAACAAAATTTGGTGATCATCCATTAATTAGTTCTGTAGAAAGAGACGTTTAAAGTTATTTCTGTTTTTAGCTTTAGCTAAATCAATATGAGCAAACTGGATAAAAGACTACCCAAGAATGCTACAGACAAAGTTTAATGATCATCCATGAATTGGTTCTGTAGAAGAAGATGTTTAAAGGTTTTTCTATTTTTAGCACTGTTGACCTCTAAAAGGGGCCAATTGAAATGACATGAGCAAATTTAAGTGTGACTGTCACAAGGATGCTACAGACCAAATTTGAGGTAAAATGCCCAGCAGTTTCTGAGAAGAAGATCAATATTCGGTGATTGTTGACGCATGACGACGGACGACAGACGCTGAAGCATCCCCCTTTGATACTAATAGCTCACCCTGAACCTTTGGTTCTGGTGAGCTAATAAAAACCTCATAATTTATAACAAAATTAGGGCAGTCATTGATTCACACTGAATCATTCAGTGTAAAGCATAAAGGCTATGATTATATTGAAATAAAATGACAAATATCAATGATACACCGATATATTGATAATTACCTATAGTGACTAACACTTGTTATAAATTCACTATCACACCTGTTTAAATGATTTCAATAAAAAGTATAATTATTCTGTTCATATAATTATGACGTGTCTTGTTCACAAAATGCCAATTTCAGGATTTGTTTTCTCATCATGTAACATACTAGTAAGCATAGTTAAAAGCATAAATACATCAATCTGCTTCTGTATTTGTTTTGGGTGATTTTTTTTATGATTTCTAGACATTTAATATTAGTTAGTCAAATGAAAATGATCAAATATTGATCAACAGAAAAATATGGACCATGCATCTACATGTATATCTTTTCTATTTAATGACAGAAGCTGGCTCTAAACAAAATGCTGCTTTATAAGTTTATTATACAGATCTTTTAAATACTATCTCCTGCAAAGTAGTAACAATCATAAATAACTTAACACAGGAGGAATATACATATTTATCATGTTTATAATGACACTGCTCCATTTTACTTATGAATAAACAAACTAATCAATTCATTTAAAGCTCAGCCCTAAATTTTTTTTAATTAACTCTAGATGAACCACTCTTCTGGATATTGATGAATGCTCTCTCTTTATCTAAAATTCTAACCAAAGGCAGACTATTTTTGCATTATTGAGGTGTTCCACACAATTTTCTGACATAACAGTGGACCATCTAGGAATGCTACAGACCACAAATGCAGGATAATTGACATGCCTTAATAAAAATTTGTTTGAGTAATCAAAACTAATTTTTCAATAAGGGACTATTCACAAAACTTGGCCAAGAAAAGTTATATTTTAGTCATGTTTCGGACACTAATTAACCCCAAGGTGGGGCCATTCTTTACCCTACATGTACTTTTGTAGGGTCATGATTCATGAAAAATTCAACTTTACATCTAAAACTGCTCTTTGTCCAAATTTCATAGCTGTACATCTGGACAAGAAAGTAGGTCACAAAGTCAAAATCTAGGTCAGCTGTTATCAAAGTTCAATTTTATATCTTAAACTGTGTACATGGTCCAAATGTCTTAGTTAAAGGATAAAATAAGCGAATTGCAATAATTTGACCTAACGGTCAATTAAAGGTCAAGGTCTCATATGAATTATTGGACATGTTTGTTTGGTAGCAAGTCTTGTTTTATCCTAAGTATAAATCGAATCTGCAACCAAAATTCAATAATTTGACCTTCACAATCAAGGTCATTTAGAGGTCACGGTCAGTTCAACCTTATCCAAAATGATGATTTGTTTAAGTATGAAGATTATAAATCCATATATTCATTACCATGTTACAGCAAGAGGGATCTGTATAGTGATCACATGTGTCCCCTCATGCAACCTTAAAACCTGTGTAATATGTACAAGAACTTGAGCTACCGATCAATCCTGTAAAGATTCATTGAAATTGCGTATGTGGTATTAGAGGAGTAGTCCGTACAAATTTTAAAATTATTAAAGGGCAAAAACTCTAACCAAAAAATGTTGATAAGATGCATAACGAGACAAGCAGGGTTTTCATTTTTATCTGAGGCACCAGTTGCTCCAAAGAAAATCCCACTGAATTGAAATTTTCTTTAAAATCATGCAGTTTTCCCAAAAATCTGAACTTAAACCAGCTTTTTTACTTCCCAAATCAGCAATTTAAGCGATAATTTTTCCCAACATCAAGAGCCATGAAGAGGCTAAGTCCTCTTTCCAATTAAGTGAGAAAAATCGCTGGACATATTGTTATGGAAGCTCGAAATATCCAATTATACTCAAATGTATCAATATTCATTTTTGTTTGTATAAAATACAGATTATTATGAGAAAATGAATTAATATTTGCAAAATAATATGACTTAGCCGACTATAACTTTCATTCATTCCGTTGAAATGGGCAGTTCAGATGTTGCAAGACACTTGCTTATCTATAGGTTCGTTTATTAATATACTTGCAATTTAAGAAAAAGATATGATGATATTTGTTGTCTACATTTAAATTTTAAGGAAATCTTTACACAACTGTCCATCTTATTATCATTTTTTAAAAATTTAATATCCTTTTAATGGAGTATACTGTATTTGGGTATATTTTGGTTCAAAACACAATGATAGGAAAATGTATAATTGGGTACACAAAAAAATGTACATGTATGTTTGATATTTTCTTGCATCTCAGGTAGGATAATCTACCGTTTACACTGGGTGCTAGAAAACTATGTTATACACCCCAAATTGCCATATATAAGACAAGTCGCGTACTTTAAATGACTTCATTGATGCGCATCTTTTATGAATGAATCGCGTTCTTAGGATGACATCATTTTTCCATTATGAATGAAGTTGTAAGTTCATACGCTTAGAAAAAAGTGCGTAATGAGAATATCAGTTTTCATAATTTCTGTTCCGAAAATAATTGATATGTAATATGCAAGAAAAAGAATCAAACACCGGCTATTGGTACAGAAGGGAATATACACTTTCACTAAGATTATAAGAATCTTACACTGGCTGCCGGTACAGACCAGAATATCTCGCTCGAGGGTAACTGTTTAGGGCGGTAAGGAGGCTCTGCCAAGTTTCCGCTAAACAGTTACCCAAGAGCTAGATATTCCCTTCTATACAGTATTGTAATTCATAGTTTTAGTATATTTGTGAAATATTTGTGTGTATTTGGGCAATGTGTGGGTATATTTCGTGCTGCCCGTTTTGACAAGTTTTGTTACGGACGGAAAGACAGGCGGACAGACGACGGAGAAGTGATCCACAAAAATCAGTGAAAAATCAATAAGTTAAGTAAACTGAAAGTAGAAAATCGTAAAACATGGTAAACATTCCTTACATCCAGATGAAAATAGGTATCCCAATTACCTATCACATCAACTAATAGCCCACCAGTGACTCCGAGAACAATAGAACTAATTATAAATCCAAGATACGGTATACCAGCTTTTTTAGGCACTGGGATGTAAGAGTATTTCCACCACATTATTTTTGGAAAGTCAACAATTGACCTAATTTCAAGTTCAATAAACTTGATTCCTGACTTGTTCAAGATTTTTATTCAGTAATTTAATCGAACAATATTGTTCTATTTAACGGGGCAGATGTGTTCCGCGGAAAAAATCCCGAGGAAACCGCGGGAAATTTTTTTTAGATTTCCCGGAAATTGTTTTAATGTTTTTGCATAAGCATTATGATCTTACAGTTTCACTCCCAAGATATTTCATTATTGAGACGTTTTGACACTCCTAAGACATTTCATACCCAGACGCTTTTTATTTCACATGTTTTCTTTAATTTCATATGAAAATAAGATTAAGTGTTTCATGTTTTTTTTTTCAATTTAAAGGGTTGTGATTTTGAAAGGTACTGCACTATGTGTGTCTGAATTATCTAGCATTGACAGGTTACCTTCTTTCAAAGTATCTGGTTACGAAGTAACTGTGATAGACCGTTTGTAATTAATATTCAATACTTTTTATTCATGAGCTTTTAAATTTACACGATGTTGATTTCTGGTTATAGGAATCGTTTTAACCCATTTCGTTTATCATTTTTATGACAGTTAATATGCAATGTCGGGCTATATGCAATGATACACTTCTTTTAGGCTAAGTAAGTAACACTCGTTTTTAATTAAATTCTTATTCTAATTTTTTGGTATCTTGACATACGTTTTAGCAATAGGTTTAAGTTTTTGACTGTGATTTAATAAATTCTACTATTGAATAGAATCGTATCTATCTATCTATTTTATGAAAGTTTGTCTTCAGACAAAATAATTAATGCTTATTAATTTTATCATTTGCTTCAAAGTCTTTTTTTTTAACTTGAATAGTGTGATACAATGCTGTAATTTTAGTTAAAATTATTGAAATATATGATAATACGCGGGAAGTCCGAGCGGGACCTAAGGCCCCGCGAGGGCTGTAGCGCTCTTAGATAACATGTATGACGCGTATCAATTGGAATTAAATCAAATTAAAACTAAATGAAAATTTCAAAAAAATATATATCCTATACCTAATGAGCTGTGAAATAAAGTTTCCTTTTAAAAGGAAAGGCTTGCACAGTTGTGCCTTCATCCCAACCCTTTGAAATTGTTCTTTTTTTTGGGGTTTCAATTCATTTTCACTTTTTTTTTGAATTACGGTATTTGTATATCATAAAGGGTTTATTTAGTTTTTTTGCTTTTTTGGAAAACCGAATATTTTTTTGTCAAAACGATTTAGATCTATTCTTTATTGTATAAAACTAATAAAGAAAATGCTCAATCGTAAAAATATTAACGTGATACTGAAGGAAAACAAGTGTGCACATCTCATTTCCCCTTAATTTTTCGCAGCGAAATCATTCCTTTGCTTTATAGACAAGTAAATGCACTAAAATACTTCGTTACGTGGCATGTTTCAACTATGATACATAGATCAGCACGTGGCAAGGTTAATGTTATGCATGGGCTATTTTTAGATTACCTCACCAAGAAGTTGAATTGCGTTCAGTAGATCTAAATATAACTCGATCATGCGTGATTTGGTAAGCAGGACCACCCTTTGAAGACGGAATAATACTACAGTCACCATTCTATATTGTATAAAACTAATACAGACAAAAAACAATTATAAAAGAAACTGACTTTTGCGTCTTGAAAAACAAATAAAACGGAACAATTTCGTTTATAATTTATTATGGTTTAAACCGATAAATCAAGTAAAAATAGAAATCCTATTTATATACACAAACTGGGATTACCGAAGTAACTAAAATAGCTTAGATTTCCGTAATTTTACTCCCAAGTATGACGGATTCGCCCGAATTGTCACGATTACATCGGCTATTATCATTAATCCGAAGACTGACGGAAAAGGCCGAAAAGTTTCGATTGGCACGATTGCAGCTTGTTTCCCGTTCAATCATGCACCAACAGATGTAAGCAGGAAACCACCTAACCGGAACAAGTTTTCCAGATGAAATCAAAAATCCTTAGTTAACTGGGCGCCGCCATTTTGAAATCCTTTTGAGCTAAATATAGATATCAGAGCGCTTTTAATGAGCGTCTCCATAATTCAGACTATTGCTAGCAGACGCATGCTAAGTAACACTTCCGGTAAAAGAATTATGTACAAAATCAGAAAATAAAGCTACATTTCATTGATAAGAATTATAGTAACGATTATAAATATAAAAAGTTACTTTTGATAAATAAGCACATTAAAAATAACGTTAAAACCAAAACTGTTATTAGAGATTAACAAAAATGGCGGACGGGATTTTCCAAACGCCGACGCATGCGCAGTGGTCCCCCTTTACGTTCGGAGATTTGCGGAAGATTCCGATCCCTCCAATGACAGGTTGAACACCACCAAATTATTCGTTTTGTATATGGTACAAAATACCTGCAAGAAAGATCTGGTTTACATGTACACTAAACATGTTATGCTAAAATCATAATTCATAAGATCTTTCCGCGCCATAGGTAGCACCTAATTTCATATTATTTAATTGAAACTATTTATATATATTTTGTTCTCTGTGTCATGCCTCCAACATGGGGGTCTATCTGTCCGGCTGTTTGTTTGTCTGTCTGTCTTTCTCTCCGTCCGTCTGTAGAAAATTTGAATAATCAATCAAGACGAAATAAAAGTTATTACTTGAAAAATGATCATATTTTGTACAATTTGAATACCACCAAAATTAGAAAAGTAATGTTTGATAAATACAGGGAAACATTTGTCAAATGCTACAAAGAAATGAATTGAACAACTAAACATTCTATACGCCCAAGCTCATATTTTAGAGGAGATTTTTATCACGTATGAATAAAACACGGTTTTATGTAAACTTTCGATCTTTTTTGTGGAGTCAATATTTCCAGGTATGTTTTTTCATTTTTTTTCTCCCGAAAAGTCAAGTAATGTTATTTGTTCTGCTGGATAGGAAGTTAAACACAAAGGGTTTCTAATATCAACGCTTTAATATCATTTGAACATTTGTTTATTTGATAAAAAGAAACAAACAAACAACTTAAAGAGAACTTGCATTTATTCAATATAAATACATGGGGCTTTAAATTATTTTGATTTACGATTTATTGTAACTCCTTGCAATCAGTGCATACTTTACATACAATGTCAGGTAGTGCATTTGGTTTATAGCATTGAAGTTGTAGGTATAAATGTAACATGAATACAATAGATACAAAGAAGATATTATTTGTTTTGTTATTTGTACCAGATAAGCGTTCAATACGGAAATAATTTAATCGGCAGTCAATCGTTTAAATCAGAGTTGCAATATTTATTTTTCTGCAAATATATTTTATCAAACGTTAATTTTCTTTATTGTTTTCTATCATTTATAGTCATTTTTTATTACCCCATAAAGTCTACTGATCCTTTAGTAATTGTCCCATTTTTCACATCTGTCACCTCAATGTGTAATTCAGTGCCTCCAAATATCATTTTAACCTTTAATTTTGACCAAATATCCCCTTGAGGATCAATGTCTACCTTAATTAATCCAACAAACTCACATCCGAATTCATCAATGAACATTGGGTCCCTTTGTTTTGACTTGTACACCTCTAACACAGCCTGCCTCTGGTTAGCAACTGACGGAAAATATTCGTGTTCTTTGAATTTATCTGGATCATGCAAACTTACTTCAGTTCCTACCTCTATATGCTTACTGAAAGCATCATCACAATATACATGCTTGCCAATATAAACTCGCTTGAATTCAGGATGCAATTTATGATTAAAAGTCCCCTTTTTGAAAATCCCAAGGGGGTACCGCATTCCGATCTATGGCCCTTTTTTCGTGTCCGTAGATAAGCACCTTTCAAAAGGGCTGCAGCCGGCCCCTTTTTGGGAAAATTTAATTTGTAAAACCTTTTCCGCTTACCTTTTCAGTAAACAGATTTGAAACCCAAAAACTAGTAATACACAATTTTCGGTACATTTTGATAATTTCATCGGTTTTTCAATTATACCTTTGAAAAGCTGTGCTAACATCTTTTTTACAAGCGATTCAGTTAAAAAATACTTTCCCCTTTTAAATTTCTATTCTTTTGCAAATTTTGATTGAAAAGGGTTTTTCTTTTTACAGTTTCCGAAAAATGACTGTGAAGTTAAAAGTACTGATTGGGAAATTTTAGAACCCCCTTTCCCTTTCCCTTCAAATGTTCGTTTCTTAACCGAAATTTTTCATTAGCTCCAGTATCCATTCATGCATTGTTGTTTGAATTGTTTAATGATATCTGCACCAAATATGCGAACCAGCACGTTCATAAAGGCGTTATCTACATTAGTGCCGCCAAAGTCACCACCAGTTGGCGGATGTAATTCCTTCAGCGTTCCATCAGTGTTGACTTCATGGCATGTAATGTCTGCTGTACCTCCTTTATATACAAAATAAATAACAGGAAATAAATTATTTAAACAGTTATATTGACTCAGTCATAATGGTATTGAATTTTACAATACATTTTTGTTATAAATGTACATAATAGCATTGCTGTTGACAAGAGACGATTTTGCATATCCTTGTCAAAATATGGAGATGCATTATACAATTAGATATCTAAGATAATAAAGATCGATATGAAGGTTTTATTATTTTTTGCATTATCATAGACATGCATATATAAATTGTGATTGACGGCCGAAATGTTGACATTGAAGTTCCTATTTAGACTGCAGTCGTCATTACTGTTTTCGACAATAAAAGGATTGTGATCATCGGAAAACTTATTAAACACAACCTTAAATTGAAGCTAATCGTTTGTCTTATTTTGTAATGAGATGTTTGACATATACTTGTCTCACCTCCTAGATCTAGTACCAGATATCGACAACCGATTGGTATTGTATCAGTCCCTAATTCTCTCTTACAGTACAGAGAAGCTGCTTCTGGTTCCAAAGCTAGCAATAACATGTGGTCAGGGATGCCAGCCTGAAAAAGTTTCATTATAAAGATTTTATAAATTGCTCTTAAAATAACCATTCTATATCATTGATCATATCACTATTAGAAACGTATTTTAAAAATGATACTAATGAAACAGATATATAATTACGAGCACTTACTCTTATATGGTATTCATACTGAACTTTATCGAAATAACAAAGAAAAAAATGAAATAAAATAAACAGATGAATAAATTAAAAATGAAATAAAATAAAACAAATTCAATTTGCACGATTTAAAGCTATACATAAATAAAAATGTTCGGTGTCGATGTGAAAGGATTATACATTATTTACGTTAGCTGCTGCCTCTCTCATAAACTTCTTTGATAAGTCATTCCATATGGCAGGTACTGTGAGGACCCAGCGAATGTCAGTATCCGGTTTGACTGACAATTGATCTTCCCTATCTGGATCATTTAATACATTCAACAAATGCTCCTTTATATATCGTATTGCTCCAGAGAAGATGTCGATTGCTTTCATTGGTTTCCCGAGTATATCTTCAATTTCCATATCTTTATGCAGTGGCTAAAAGAAATCAATACTGTATCATATTGCATACTGACACTTAAAGAGAAAAAAATTGGAATGACTGGACATTTAAATGTAGAGCATAGTAACTCAATGATTCGTTTTTAAATACATTTGACGTTTATTTCTCTTATTCCTGCCAACAACTGATACGTAATTAGAAATCTTCATAAACAAAAACCACAAGACTCACCAACCCTTTCACAAATAGTTTCATTTTGAATCGTTCGAACAAGTACCATTCTTTTGGGGTTTCCTTTTTTTTTATCGCCCCCTTTATATTTTTTTGCTGCTTCCTCCCCAAATGAAGAAATTTCCCTTTTTGGACCATCAGACAATGTAGGGGTCGTAATTATAAAAAGGAAACAAAATTTTTTACAAGAAATGTTATTCAGAAAAACTATGGGGACAATTTACACGGCTATTTACAATGAAATTACAAATGAAATTACAATTGCTTAAAACTGCATCCCAACCCAAGATGAGCTAAACTTTTCAAGAAAAAAAACTTGTATTAAGATTTTGAGAAAATTTAAAGATGCAAGTTTCACGTAATCATGTATATATTTTTAGGTAATTTACGTGAATTGTAGTACCGTGCACGCATGGTATAAATAACTTTTTTTATTCACTTCAATATCATGAACGTGGAGGTATTCTGCTTTAAAAGAAACTGTAGTTATAGCTGACTAAATACTTTAAGAGAAATTATAGAAACAGTTTAATTAATTCCGCTTGGTATTGCAAAATTTTTATTTTGATCCTACAGTTAATTGCAATTAAATGTACAACCATTGTCTATAAGCATATCTGTTTTCTACGAAAGTTTATAAATACATGTACGTAACTATTATGACTATTATATAACTGATTACAATGTTAATGTTGATTTCCAACAATAGATAAAATCATATCCCGTTAACAGAATGTGTTCGTTCTATATTTGATTTGTTTACCTTAATTGATACTCTATTCCAGTATGTTGCTAAGATATTGTCTGGCTTCGTGTTAAAAGAATAAGCATAGCCACTGTATGTTGTTCCAAAGTCTACTGCTGCTACAAGCAATGCATTGCTTTTAGACTGTTGGATAACCTAAGACAATGTTCATAATGCATATTTAAATGATTTGAATCAATAATCTATATGAAATAGATTAAAATTATTCGAATCTTACAATGAGGTTATACTTCATGTGTGAAAACATCGAAAACAAATAAATATTAAAGTTATTATGCTGAGCTCATTTTTAATAAAAGCAGTATTCTTCACTGACATTGGATACTTCATAACTGACTTGCTATACAGAAATATGAAAAGAAGAGTACTTTATTTATCTTAATACCTGTTCAAAAACCATTGTAATCATTAAGAGAAAAACAAAATATAAGATAAGGTACCGTTTGTTTCCATTGCTTTTGTTTCGGATATGTCCCTGTAAAAGAAAAACATAATTTTCTTGAATAATGTAATAGTTCCAATCAGCTGTTAAAACATTTAAATTAAAGTTCCACAAGGAAAAGCAAATTTAACGGAATACAGTATGACAATATATAGACATGACGGATCTCTGGAAATACTAACAATAACGAACAGGATCGGGTAAATTGAGAAAAAGGAAGTCACATGGAGCAAGTCATGACAGAGAACACTAAGACACGTACACTAGATGCCTTGAAGGATGAGGCATTGTCATGCGGCAATCTGGCATTAGCCAAACCTGATAAGGGTCTTATAAACTACTACTTGAGTTCTGTAAAACTTCGCACTGACATACATCAACCATGGCTTTTGAGTTTTGTAAAAAAGAAAAAAGAAACAAACAAATAAAAAACAACCGACATAATTATATAACTCGCTTGAAATTGATGGTCCGCATTGGTATTTATGTTATAGCTCATATTGTTGTGTCATACATGAATTGAGTATAAAAAAACTGGAACTTTGACATATTGTGTTGCCCAGTAATTGTCCTGTGTCTGGAACGTTAAGTAGCAAAATACAACTCGACTTATACACCCCAAGCTCAGCCATGTAACATAAAACGAAACAGAGCAATTGCAAAAGATTCCGCAAAACGACTTCTAACGATTGTAAGGATTAATGCAAAATATCCTAAACATATACGCCGTATAAAATACGTAACTCAGGAATTATAACAAAAATATACCACCATGGCAAGGACAACAAAAAACGTCTACAAATACCGGCGGAAAAACATATAATTAAGGCACATTATGTATGAGAAACGAATATATTTTTCTTTAGAGGGAAACATGAGTATTATAACGTTCAGGTACTGGTTTTAGTGCATGTTAGCTGCTTGTTATCCGAAAGAACAAGTACTTCATTTGAAATTATTTGTCATATAAGTAACAAAATGTAAACAAAGTAATATTTTGACTTCCATACAAAATATTAAATCACTAAAGTTGTTTTGCCAGAAAGCAACATGTGAAAAAAATACACTTCAAGTGATTGGCCAAAAAAGAACCTTCTGGAAACAATGAAAGTAAACGAAGATTAAAAGCTGTTGTGAAATAGAAATAAAAGTGTTTTTTTCTGAATCATAATGGGCCTTAAATTTCCAACAGGATATTTACTTTATTTCAGGTTTTCAGTATTGAAAAATGTGAGAAGTATTTTTCAACTTACAATGTTTAGCAGGTGTTGCTCTTTTACCACTAACCTCTCCATCCAGAGATTCTAAACAAAGAAATAAATAATATAATCATTTCTTCGCAATTTATCTTCTAACGTTATTTTCATTTTTTTATTTTGATGTAAATTATTTTCAGATGTTTTGTGAAGCGATTGACTAATCACATTAAAAATATTATATACATATTTCATTATACATGTAATAGTCATTTAGATATTCAATCTTGATACTAATATGAATCAAAATTTATCAATGCATTTAAAGAAGTACACAATAATAATAAATTAACGCATGCATTCAAAATAAAGCTATATTTACCTTCAACAGGTTTCGAAGCTCCAGATCCCATTTCCAGTCACATATGTTACAACTTTACAATAAATGGCAGCACTCATAATAATACAAAACGTTCTCTAATTATTTGTTTATATTCTTTTTACAACGCCGTACATAACCCTTACACATGCTTACACAGCGACAATGCTCGACTACAATGAAACTGAAAAAGAATTTCATGAACTAGGAAGTCGACAATTGTCCAAGCCTGCATTAATACATGTGATTTTACTTTTCTTTCTCTAAAGTTATCAAATCAAATCGTTTTGAAGTAGTTTTTAAAGTAAAGGCACTTCAGTAACTTGAGATCTCCATTTATGAAACAAGTTTTACCTCTATTTTGATATTGATTATTTCATCTTGTATTTCAATCTCGAACGATGTGATTATAAAATTCTGCAAGCAATTTATTAAATACTATAAACTTTGTTCTTCCTGCTGGATAGTTTTATTTAATTTTTCTTTTCATAATATTTTAACCATATCTGAACAATATAGTATTGTTATTGATATATAATTGTGTAATTTATATCTACATCTATCTCATTGTTTTATAAAAAATAGTTTAAAACAGAAAACGAATAGATGATAAAAATGTTAAAACATAATCCTGAAGATGAAGAGATGTAAATAAAGTTACTAATAAATGTTTAAATTCCATTTTTATACATACACATCCCCGAAATATATTTCTGATTTTCTCTTCCGCCTTGAGACTCGTACAATGATTAATAATACAATGTGATCAGTCAAGAGTGGCAACTTATCTAACTTAATACACAATACTTGTTGAAATTACTTGTTTGTCGTTTACCGGTATAGTTTATATTTAGGTACGTTTTATACCCAGGTATGGTCTGTCAATTGCATACTAATTATACGGTCAATGCACAGTTAAGTTTCCTGAGATGTACGCAGATGTGATCAAATTTATGTCAACTGAGCGTTACAGCGCAAATATTCTACGTGTCAGATCGAAATCTCGTATGTCCATGTTTTTCTTATGTATATTGTCAACACTATTGAAGCTATGATTTTGCTATGTGTTTCGGTTGTTTGTTGTTTGTTGTTTGTTTTTAATTTGCTTTACTTTGCTTTGTGTGTGTATGTGTTGTTGGTGTTGTTTTTGTTGTTGTTATTTTTCCCCCAACTATTTTGCACTTATTTTGGTCATGTCCATACTCTTTTTAAACAACTTGGTTTAAGAATTAATATTTGAAATTCATTCGGATATAAACCAATTAATGTCATGTCAATGCCGCAAAATTCGATACAAAACGAGACAAAACAGTGTTTTTAATTTGCATCATATCTTTATAGATGATTTTACATGCGGTTATACGTTATTTTAAAGGGTAAGTAAATACATCCCAAATTCAGTGGTCCTATAAGTGCTCATCAAGATGGGCTGGAAGCAACTGATAATTCAGCAAAGGGGCTCTGAAAAATAATGTATTCATTTAATCTATTTTTTTCGTTTTCATTTCATTGATTGTTGTTTTGTACATTATTTTGCAACCTACACATTTATAATAAACAAACCAAGGTGTTACTAGATTAGGCTTTTTGTTAAGGCCTGCAGGTTCAATAACATATGAGACACACCATCAATAAATGTTGTAGCTTATTGAAAATTATGGGTAATCAGAAAGAAAGTTTTGAAAGTTGACCAGAGTGTATTTCCTCATTATTTCTAGACCCGGTATGTTTATAGGTTGGATATCTAGCACACAAAATACCTTCGGCGTCCTTATAATCATCACTGCTCACGTTCTAGAACCTTGGTCAGCTTGATCATTTCGTAATAAAATTTGATTAGCATATTTTTTGAAGATAATTTGGCCAAGTAAAAACATTGGACATCTTTGATCAAACAAGGTAACACTAATGATACAGATTTATTGATATATCATGGAAGTCATTATTTAAAGGCACGTACAGTACGTATGCCTCAGAAATCAATAATTGTTTAATTCTTTAGAAAGGGCTGATATGTTTATAATAATATTTTGTTAATGATTTTGGAGTCTGTCTCTTAGATGTAAAGTAGCGTGGATTGTGCAGTAATGTGTTGTAAAGGTAGCGTAATGTAAACAAAATAGTATTTTGACTTCCATAGAGAATACTTATATAACTCACTATAATTACACACATAGCCAAAATGAAAATAAGCAAAAGTTCATCTATATGGCCAATAAGTAATTATTTGGCAACTATGATAAGATACAAAAAGCGATGTTGAGAAATAAAACTGATTTCGAGAGGCTTAATGGGTTTATAACGTCATTTATCATGATTCGAAAACGTTTTTATTTATGATTTACAGTATATACCTCGTATTAAAACAATGGCATTTGCTAAATTGTGTTAAATCTCTAGAAACCAGCAATATTTGTATTGTAAGTGGACACTCATTGTTAATTTCGGATATCTTATACACCAAAGTAGATATAATATAGACCGAATCATGATACACTCAGAGGCACTAATAGACAGACACTTTTTTCGGTATAAATTGGTTATTTGTGGACGTATTTTGTTCAAATTTGGGTCATACTAGATTCAACATATCAGTCTTTCTTGTTAGAACTTTATTTACTATGTATTGACAAAAAAAAAATATATGAAAAAATAACAAATTTAAAGCAAATAGGCTATTGAAAAATGAAAATCAATGAATGGCTGTAAAAATCGTATTAAAATGAACCCCTCTGAATCCCACTAAATCTGTATGTTAACCAGTTCTAATACTTTGTGTCCTCCCGTGGCTTTAACAACAAGAAAGTGACCAGTAGCCAGAGCTACTTGTCGCTAGTTCTTTTTGATTTTTGCTAGATCGTTTGGGGGTTGCGTTCATTGAACGCCGCCTTTCCTTGTTGATCTTGTTTATCATATTTCACGAGAAACTACGTCATTTCAATGAGACAATGATTGTTTTGATATAAAGATTACATTTGTATAATCCGATCAATTCTATGATATAGCGGTATTGATGCATGGTACTGTTTAAAAAGTGCTCATATATGGAACAAAAAAGACAACATTAATTAACAGATTAGCCGGTGTTCCGTACATTACGCTACGTTCTAACGTAGGGCAAAAGAAAGAGAACTAAGACTTCACAAGTAATATATGACTGAAATACTGAAGAACAAAACATAATATTCTAACATCTTTTTCACCAACAATGATGTAATGGAAACAAAACAGACACGATGTTTCAAAAGTATGTTGAGAGTTAAGCGAAAATCATTATTCACCATTAAGTGCACTAAAGATTACTACAGTCCAACCCCGGTTATTCGACAACCCTTTATTCGAATACCCGGCATTATCCGAAGTAGATCGGCGGTCCCGTTTTTATCTCTATATAAATCAATATAAATACGAGCGTATTATTCGAAATGCATTATCCGAATACCTCCTATTTTTCGAAGTAAAATTTCGGTCCCGATTATACAATTATAAAAGAATTTCACACCTATTATTCGAAGCCAGCCTAATTATCACTCGAAGTCAGACTATTTTGCGCAGATCCACTCGCTGACCGGTCGACTTGTGAAAAATATCAACAGTCATGCGTGTATTTAGACAATCGTGATAATAACTCTTTGTATGTTCTTTAATCAACTTTTATTACCGAAAATGAAAAGCAATGCACCGTGTCCGATTTTATGACTGTTATTGCTTGAAGATGACAGCAATAATTTTCATACATACCGTATAGGTAAATTTGTCAAAACATCCAAAACATTTTTTTCATTAATTGTAACGCTACATGAGAGCCTTTTTCCTAATCTAAAATGCCAGAGTTTAGCTGTAAATACCGTAGTGACAACACGGCCATTATCAAGGCTTTGCGCGAAACGAAACGATACATAATCTGGAATAAAATGCAAGTATTTATGTGTTCAATGTCAATACAATAATTTTACGCATCTTTTCTTTAATATTTATTTTTCTCAATTGATTACAGGAAGTAAGTGTGTTGTAAACGGTAGTTTTGCTATGATTGGTCAAAGTGGAGTAGTGTTCGTCTATCACAATATTCCGATTTCGATTATTCGAACCCATCGATTATTCGAAGTAAATATTCAGTCCCAGGCACTTCGAATAAACGGGGTTGGACTGTATAACAAATAAAAAGCTGAGATTTAAACCTTATAAAACAAAATATAGTTACGTTATGCAAATGTCCTTACGTACTTAGTTAAGGGGGAGGCAAACACGATACATACCAAATTTGTTACAATCACATTGATGGGATATATGTTAAATAATATCCACCTTAAATGTTGATATATGACTTTTTAATGTTGTTATATTTGTATTACGGCATTGTGAACAACGACATTAATAACAATACTTTTAGTTATGCCATGTTTTAATGTGTCAAGGGCTTGTGACTTATATCACGGATGTTGAGTTGAGAATTGAGTTGATAAGGTGCTATTTGAAAATGTTTATCCCAAAACAATTGTTGAACAGAACCACATATCATTTATAAAGTATGAAATTAAATTTACACATGTCATTTATGGTGATAATGCATATTTGCAACCTAAGAAATGAAATAACACCCTAGGAGCCGAGGGTGGAAGTTCAGTTCAAGGGTTGCTAATATGCTCTATTACACTCAATGAGAGACATGTGTTATTTTTACTATAACGAATCAACATTTTAATATTGTAAAACAGTTTGCTATAATATTACGTCAGCAGAGCGACCAGGGGAGAAAACTCATTATCTCGATATGGAACATATTTTTCTAGCAACGGAATTTTTTATTAAATGATCATTCAACATTTCTGTAAATTGGTAAATTATAATGTCAAATAACGTACATTTTTCATCTAACACGAGTAAATATCTCTGATTATTTCGCGATGTGCTTTAAAAGCAATATAAACTCGAGAATTTAGAAAAGAAATCTGTTTGTGTGTTAGTTTGTTGTTTCTTTTTATGGAAAACTGGCTGTAAGTTTAAAAAATGGAGCATATTTATTATCAACTTTTGCAGAAAAAAAACGCATTTTTATCCCTATGTTCGGCTAACATAGATTACAATCAAGTCTAGTTTTTCTGTACAGAATAAATCAAATTATAGTAATACACACATCTGTTAAAGGCTTGTTCTCCCATATTAAATCTTGCATGTTGTAAATTACCAGAACATAGATATCTCATGAACAAATCAAATTCTTGCTGATAATGAGCAGGGATTACCAATGGTTGTTGATGCTCATTACCGTACGTTGCTTGCGCGGAAGTTTGCATGCTAGGAGCTTGACCGACACCAGTGTTTGACACCTGTTGAAGAAACTGCTGCTGCTGCTGCTGCTGCTGCTGCTGCTGTTGTTGTTGATGATGATGCTGTTGTTGTTGTTGCTGCTGCTGTTGTTGTTGATGATGTTGTTGCTGTTGCTGTTGTTGATGATGATAATGCTGCTGTTGTTGATGCTGCTGCTCCGAAATACCTGTGTTTGATTGGTACTGTTTGAATGTTCCACAATGTGGTTGAGAAACGTTTTCGTTGTTTGGAAAATTATTATGGAAGTTGTTCGGTTGTATCTGCCTGACGTTACCGGCATGCGGTTGATACTGTTGAAAACTAGCAGCTTTGAATTGAGTTTGTGGAGAACGATCCTCATGTCTCTGAAATTCATGGACGTAATCGGAAGCTGTCTCATTTTGATGGATATTTTCGGAAGATTTCTGCATATCATTGACAACTTCACCGGTTGCTTGTTTTGAGTCCCGGGATATTTGCTGATTTTCTTTACATTGGCTGTCTGTCGGTATAAGCTGATGAGAGCTCTTCATAGTTGAGTGCTGGTTATGTAATTGCTCATTTTCCATTGGTTTCTCAGTACTGTCAGTTTGCAACCTAAGTTTCACATTTATTTCACTGTGGACCTTCTCCGTTTTAGCTGTCTGGTCTCGTTTCATATTATGTCCATGATTTTGATTTAATTCAGATTGCGCCTTAGTCTGCCGCAGGTCTGCTACACCACCTTGTGCTACTGTATTCGTTAATCGTAAAGAACCAGATGGTACATCCATTCCAGTGGCAGTAACCTTTTTGGACCTTGTTCTCACAGATTGTGAGCCTTGAAGTAATTTTACGCATTGAACAACACCTTTTGAAAGAACAGATCCATTTTCGCAAAGCAGGAGAGCAGGCCAAACGACGAAGTCAACAACTGTTCCAGTCGTTGTATAGTGTTTATACATACTGCCATCAAACTTATCACCATCACGTACATTTAGATGAAGTACAACAGGGGGGTTTTGATTGACCATATGCCAGCATAAATTAACGCATTCGTTCACAAAATCCCTGGAATTTTCGGTAAACTGTCCAATTTTGTTTGTCTTGTCGCAGTTTCCAAGATATTTCTGTAAAAATGAGATTGTTGTCCGTAAAATAATGAAATATTTAAGACAATATTGCGAAATTTGAATTTTTTCCCCATTAGATATTGTGAAAACTATCTTTAAACATATCAGGGGAACTGTCTTTAAGGCAAACCTCTTTTTGCAACTATTTTAAACATTATATCTAATTAAGTGGTATAAATGTCACACTGAGGTCGAAATGATAGATAATCAAATCTGATAAGAGTTCTAAAGTGTTCAATCACAAATTTACGATACTTATTTACAACCATGGGTGCATAATTTGGTGCTGTTGCTAAGGCTGGTTTACTTTTATAGTTACTTAAAAATGAAAATATACCCGCTTATCACGCGTACTATGGTGTAGTTTCAATTTAAAACTGAATCAATACAATATTTTAAACTAGACATCATTCTTTGCAATTTCAGTCTATAGTATATATTTCGACAATGTGAAGTTGAATAAAATGTGTGTTATACCTAACATTAGCATTTTCACAGTTGATATCGTTTAAACAATGATTTGTATCGCTTGTGTGTGAACAGTTTAAATATATGCAAATCTTTATATTAAACACAATTTTGTATCACCTCAAGCAGATTTTCCGTAGACTTTGACACTGCATACCGTTTCAGTTCTTTAATTTTTGTTTGTATGTTTTCTGGTATTGCAGAGCTTAACTGTAAAATAATTAAATAGCTGGATAAAAGACAATGTGTAAAAGTTTGCTTTCGCACATTAATTTAATAAGCTCATTTTATAAACCTAGCTAGTGAAATACTAGTAAATGTTGTCAACTTGACTTAAGGGAAGCACTGTGAATTTCATGAGTGGCGATAGCTACGAGTAAAATATGATAATGTCCATATAAGATGATGAAAAAAAATCATGTATTTGTAGTGAAATAAAAAAAAACAACTTGAATTTTCGGCATATTATATACATTTTTCTGATTTTTTTACCTCTTTCGTTTTGTGTGTTCTAAACATTGCCGCCATAAAGTCTGTATCTTGATTCACGACCTCATCTTTACAGAATTTATACACATGCTGGAATTGAACATAAATAGAATAACTTACTAGCTTGCATTGTCAATATCCTATGGCGTATGATAGGAATAATACAGTCATGTCATTTAAACATTCCTATTCGTCACGATTGTCAAATAAAATAAAAAAGAATAATAGAAAAAAACAAGGAAAGCGCAAAACTGCAGAATTGGAAATGCTGCATGCTCAGTTTGATTGAGCTTGCTCATTTACGATATTTGTAATTGCAATTAACCGTCCACACACCCTCGCACGGCTTATGCAGAATGTGACACGTTCGTGCCATTCCATGAAAATCAGTGCACAGTCCCCAAATAAATGTATGTGTGTTATATAATCTTTGATGACTGGCAACAGATCTCAACTCACAGTCTCTCAAAGAATTTGAGAACTTGAATAAAGCCATTTGTTCCATGCAGTTTACATAACACACATGTGAAAAACATTATATAGACGTCGACTTTTCAATGAAATATTATCAGTTGTTCACCATTTTCTTTTTTATATACTTGGTAAGTAAAGGCTTAAAATGAAATAAGATTTATACCTGTAATATTTTATATAAAACAGTAATTCTTGTTTTTTCCTTCTCATTCAAGAAAAACTCCTCAGCCTTTTCAAAAGCATCTGTCCACTGATTATCATATAGCTCCTGATATTTCTCGGCAAGTTTTGTTGGTCTAAAGTCATCGCTTAGATCTGCAATATCGGGATTGTTTTTGGATAGTTTGTCACCCATCAGTTTACTCAACCTCAAAAGTAAAATAAAACACGAAAGTACTACATTGACAATATGTACATAATTATATATTGTAAGGTAGACCTTTGTTATTTTCTATTCTATTTAAATAAGCATAAATGCAACATGCATGTATTTACCTTTCCGATACAATCTAGTGTTAAAATGTAAGCAAAATGTCAAACAGTACCTGGATTTTGTTTCTGAAAGCTCTTTTTCTGCGTTGCTTTTCTCTACCTTCAACTGTTTTGAAGATTCGTTCAATCTTGTGATTTCTTCCACTTTGCCTCTTATTAAAGCATTTGCATTTTCTACCAGTTCATCTTTGGATCTTTTCAATTCATTGGCTTGTGTTGCCTTTTCTTTCAGCCGCTTCTCTAAATCATAATTAACGTCTTTGTATGCATCAACTTCTTCCTTATGATTAGCTTTCAGTTCATCCTTCTGTGCTGTCAAACTTCGGATTGACGATTCAAGATTTTGTATTGTTGCATTAGCACTATCTAGATCTGTTGATTTCGTCTTGTATGACTTTCGAATCTTTTCAAGTTGTTCGGCAAGCTTTGAAATCTTTTCCTGAGCCACATGAAGTTTTCTTTGCAAATCAAAGATTTCACTGCTATCATGTTGCGACTTAAAATAAATATAAGTTGGTAAAAAGATTTAAAATTCTTAAATTTAAAAGATGCATTGCTGTTTTGAAACAGTTACGAAAACGATTAACTTAACACCAATTTTGGTTTCGATTATTACATTGTATTACTAATTTATTATTTCTTTTAAGAAATCATAGTTCAGTATCTTACCTTATTTTCTTGTAGATAATTTGGTGCATTTTTAAGTTTAGTAAGTTCGCCCCTTGCAGGATCTACTAGTTCGATGATTCGATGAATCTCTGTTATTAAATGATCAGTGGCTGTTCTCGTATCTGTTTCCATCGGGGTTGTGTCTCTCCTGCCTTCATTATTCGATGACCTTGCATCATAACACTCCGCCATTATAATCTATATGGATAAGAGTTTAAATTTTACATGTACCGATAAAAACCGTAAAAAGTCAAAAGCGAATAGTCACTGTTTGCGTAGAAAGATTAAGTTACGTATCTGATAACATTTTCATAATACAGTAAATTAGAAAATAAACAAGTCCACACATTTAAATGTTTTCATGTAGAAATCCCATTAACGGTAAAAGAATTTTTATACTTAAATGATTAACTATACACTCCTTATATACAAGTATACGGACATTTTACAACTCTCTTCAATTCAAACATTTCCCTTCAATTAACTTCCTGTTTTGATTTCAGCGAAGCATTAAAACGATATTTATGGACGAAAAAAAACTAGAGTGTACAATAATTCGTTTTCATCGTATATTTTACTAAAAACATCCAGTAATACGAAACATATACAGTGTATAAATCACAGAATGCTTTTTATATATTACTATAAACACATTCTTCTTACCTTGTCAATGACGAGCTGTTTCTGTATTAGTTAGTGGAAATATTTGATCTTCCTGGTAATTTACTTCTCGTTTCGTTTTAAGTATTCATTATCAATCTGGAGTACCATGCCAAGATCACTCGAATAGTGTGTAAACTTTATCGGAAAAGATAGAGAATAAATATTTACAAAACTTTAACTTGATATACTTTAACTGAATACTTAATAGCTTGATCAGATGTAAATATCTCGTTTAAATCAATTATTTCAATTTATACGATCTTTAATAACCGCCTTGGAAATCAGGTTGCAGTTCGAATATGAATACTTTCATGCTGCCAGAAAACGGTTGAAATCTTTAAAAGAGGAGAGCAGTATTTCTTTTAGCTTCCAATTTGAGTTAGTGTTTTTTTCTAATTTATTGTTTATATACGACTATTCCTAAATTGATCTTTGGAAACTCAAGCAGTTTGAATTGTCATTACTATTATAATAATGGTTCAATACTGAACAACGGGTGGTTAAATACATTATTTTGATATTCACAATAAACGATAGAAAAGTTGAATTTACGTTTACATTTGGTGTCTATTGCTATTATGCATATCATATGTCGGTTGACCTCTTATTTTCTTGTGTATAATTCATACAAGGATATTGATGGTTCTGCAGGGACACGTTTATATCATTAGTATGAATTTCAGTAGCATTTATACATTTCATACAATATGTAAGCCATTAAGCATATAAATTTAATATACATTAACACAGTTTCAAAATTTTAATAAATATCACACATGTACAAGAACAACACACTTATTAAACCACACTTTCCTTCACTGAAGGGAATACATCATGGCATCATTACATCAGTGACATATTTATAAGAGTTACAGTGCAAAAACGTGATAAGTTATAAAATATAACCGACTTCAACAGTACAATGTATACAATAAAGAACATCATCCCCGTAGATTCAATTATTCGTAATATAAGGTTAATTAATAATGAATGTGTCTATGTCAAAATATTATTAGTGATAGTTTGCCTGCTTTCAAAATATTACATGTGTATAATGTTCAACCTTTCACCTCCTCGATCAGCCAGATTCAAAGGTATCCCCTAATCTGTGAATATCCTATGCAGAAAGATATCAGAAAACAAGATAAAAAAATTAAACAAGATAAAAAAATGAATATTCAACTGACACATACGTTATATTTCTTCGCATCAGCTGCCTTAACAAAACCTTACATGACGAAACGAGTCGCTAAAGTGACTAAAGGGTAAGCGATAGCGACGATACCAAAACTAGATCTGAATATCGTGCCTTCTCATCATGTCGCCTCTCTGTTGCATTGTCTTACCACCTTGTTGCATCGGTGTATCATTTCATTGCTTCGGCTCAACTTTTTGCTACTTTTTTCATTGGTCACTCTATTTCTACTGCCGTTTGTAATGTCAAAATTATTGTCCTTGTTCACTGTGTGAAAACATTGAAAATAAATGAATAACAAAGTTGTATATGGTGACCTCAGTTACAATGAAACCATATTGTACATAACTTACAGCGGATACTTCATAACTGACTTGCTATACAGACATATGAAAAGAGGAGTACATTATATGTCTTTAAACCTGTTCAGAGAACGCAAAATATAAGATATTCCATTGCTGTTGTTGCGGATATGTCCCTGTAAAAGAAAAACATAATGTTCTTGAATAACGGAATAGTTCAAGTCAGCTGCTGTAAAACATTTAAATTAAAGTTCCACAAGGAAGAACAACATTAACGGAATACAGTAAATCAATATAAAAACATAACGGATCTCCGGAAAGACTACCAGTAACGGACAGGAACGGGTTGGGATTGAACAATGAAAATATTGCTCTTTAAAGTTCCTCAATGTTTTATGAAATAAATATTTAAAACATAATACACGAATAGATTATATGAATTATTCTGTAGACGATTTTGAACCGAACACATGCCCGATTTTCTCTTCCGCATTGAGACTGGGGCATTGATCGATAATACAATGTGATCAGTCAAGAATGGCAACTGATCAGAACTTAATATACTTGTTGAAATTACTTGTTTATCATTTAACTGATTTAGCATATTTAAGTTGACAGTTTGTATACAATTTTATACTCCAGGTAGTATGTTTATGTTAATATGATATATTCACCTCTTACATATTTCACTATTTTTGGGTACTTATTATTATTGTTATGTGTTTCTGAGTGTGTTTTGTTTTGTTTTTTAATTGTTTTGATATTATGTTTTTTGGTGTTAAGTCTCACCAACAAAGTTATTCATTATTTCAGGCACCTTGACTATAACTTGAGTAAATATTAATTTGGCAAAAAGCTCATAAATTCATATAATTTTCAAGCTCACAATTTTCAGTTATTGCTTCATAATCCATGATCTGACCAGCGATTTCTTTTTTGTATCATCCGAAAAATATGGTATTTTTTTATTTATTTATATTGCATTGATTGTTTTAATATAACGCATTTTACAATCTACACATCTATTATTCGTAAATAATATATAAATTATGCGTTATTAGGAAGACATTTTTGAAACTTGACCATAGTGTATTTCCTAATAATTTCTAGACCAAGTATGTATATACCTTTGACAATTTTTAAATCATCATTGCTCACATTCTAGAGACCTTGGTCTGTTTGACAATGTCGTAATAACATTTATAGCTATATGGTACTTATGTAGTGAACTATGATATAACATTGCATGCAGAATAATGTATATTTATGCTTTCCCGCTGTTAAAGAAGAGAGTTGCCGGCTAGTTTTAAGTGACTTCCTTCTACTGTTGTAGATTTGTAAAATATATCATACTAGTTTAAACCCATCTTCACCATCTGGAATGAATATTAACTTTAACAGCTGTGCTATATTTCAATCTCTTACATGCATCATTGTGGAAACTGCGAGAAGTGTAGTGTATCGGCAACGGTTACTTCCCTTGGTCAGTAAGAGTGGTTAGTGTAGCAGACGTAAAATACTTAAAGAAACCGTCGACTTTATACATGTATTTAGGGTGTAATAGAAGGTCTGAGTAGAATTAGAAAACAATGCACAACTTTTTATTACCTAAAGCATACCTTTGGGTCTATATTGCGGCAATGTAAAACTATCGGTTCGATATTACATGTAATTCATTAATGGGTATAGATCAATTTCTATACACACCATACTAGTTTGTAAAATGAGCATTATCATGGGACAAAAACATAGTTTAAAAAGATGTTTCATTTTGTTGTAGTCTCGACGGACATGTCGGACTCCGACCACGTAGACCCACCTGCTGGAAGTTTTTGTCTTAAATTTTCGTAAAACAGTTTCCTCTCCAACATTATCTTGACTTTCTCGCCGAGGTAGTTCGCATGGTCCCAAACTTGGCCATTGTATGCTTTTGAATTCATATTTATGTCGCCTGTCAGAAATATTGTTTCCACTAATCGTTTCTCTACTACAAAAAGACGTTTAATTAAAATTTAACTAACCGTTGAAAATGACCCCTGATCAGAATGTAACGATTGGTCATTTTTCAACGACTTTTTATTTTAATTAAAATTCAATGTTGAATTATTGTTAACGTTGCAAAATGATCCAGGTACAGGTCTCAACATTGAAAAGTAACACATGCGTCATGTTCAACGGAACCAAAATTTGATGTTACACCATTTATTGTATATTAATGTGTCAAGGGCTGATGGCCTATATCACATAAGGGTTTAGTTGAGTGTTGCGTTGATAAGGTACTTTTTGAAGATATATTTCCCGAAACAATTTTTTTAATCAAACCACTGATCATTTACTTAACATAAACATTACGTTAAATTACGCGACAAATATAAATTGATATTTACAGTAATAAGTTGCAATAAAGAGTATACACAAACCATATAAGAGTTTAGTTTAAACATATTTGTTTCCCGAATATTTACATGATATACATAATACAATACAATCAGAATACAAATATGTAATATATTCAAAGGAAAGGATGAGAACGAAAGACTAAGTCTTATAAAATTCTTCTCCTTTTAGTGTAACTTTATAATGAGTCGATTTTATAATATTTTGTACAATTATCAAAAAAGTTGAATGTAAATATTTGTGACGAAGTAAACGTTATATTTATAAGTAATCATCGGGATAAGAATTAGAAATTATAATACCGAAAAAAGAATAAAGGAAAACAAATAATACAATAGGAAGAAAAAAGAAAGAAAGAGAAAAGAAAGATTTTATAAAGAGTTTATATAGCATTGCAATTATATTGATAAACACATTATCTTGCTAATAAACATATTTATTCACAATATAAAAAAGATAACTTTATGATATAATAAGCGGAATAAATATGTACAGAAAATATTTATACACATTTTGCTAATTTTATTGTAGTTTTATGATAAATGATAATTCAACATTTCTGTGGATTGGTCATATAAAGTCAAATAACGTATATTTTTATCTAACACGCATAAATACATCGCTGGTTATTTGAGAATATGTCTGTCTTCAAAGCAATTTTAACTCTAGAATTTAAAAAAAAATCTGGTAACGCATACTTAAACCAAACACGTAGGGATTTCATGATTGTTTGTTTGATTGTTGTTTTTGTTAAGGTAAACTAGCTGTAGTTTAAAGATTGAGCACATTTATTAATGAATGTGGCAGAAAGACGCATTTCATCCCTACATTTGGTCAACATAGATTACAATCAAGTCTGGTTTTTATGTACAGAAGAAAGCGATTTCCGAGTCTGCAACATTTCCAATGTGCCATTTTGGCCTTTCTTTGGGGACTTCTAGTATCTGTATTTATAGTGCATGTAGTTCTTTAATCTGTCAACGACTTTGTCTCCCAAACACAATCTTGCATGGGCTTCACTTCTAGTGCGTAGCATTCTGATAAAAAAGTCAAATTCTTGCTGATTAGGAGGATCGTCGATTACCAACGGTTGTTGATGCTTATTCCCGTACATTGCTTGCGCAGACGTTCGTTCGCAAGGAGCTTGGCCGACACCAGTGTTTGACTGCTGTGGAAGAAAATGTTGTTGTTGCTGCTGCTGTTGTTGTTGTTGTTGTTGATAATGACGATGCTGTTGTTGTTGTTGCCTCTGCTGATGCTGTTGTTGTTGCTGCAGTTTTTGTTGTTGATGATGGTGCTGTTGTTGTTGCTGCTGCTGTTGTTGCTGCTGCTGCTCCGATATACCTGTGTTTGATTGAAAGTGTTTGAATGTTCCACAATTTGGTCGAGAAACGTTTCCGTTATTAGGAAAATAATTATGGTAGTTGTTTGGTTGTATCTGCCTGACGTCACCAGCATGCGGTTGATACTGTTGACAATTAGCAGCATTGATCTGAGTTTGTTGAGAACGATCCTTTTGTCCGTGAAATTGATGGACGTAATCGGAAGCTGTCTCATGATGATGGATATTTCCTGATGATTTCTGCATATCATTGACAACTTCATCGGTTGCTTGCTTTGGACAGGAGTTCCGGGAAATTTGCTGTTTATCTTGACGTTGGCTGTCTGTCGGTATAAGCTGATGGACATCTCCTTGAGAGCTCTTCACAGTCGAGTGCTGGGTATGTAATTGCGCATTTTTCATTGGCTTCTTAGAACAATCAGTTGGCAATGTTAGTTTAACGTTGAATTCACTGTGGACCTTCTCCGTTTTCGAGTTCTGGTCACGTTTCATATTCTGACCATGATTTTGATTTAATTCAGATTGCGCCTTAGTCTGCGTCAGGTCTGCTACATTACCGTGTGCTACAGTACTCGTTAATCGTGAGGAACCAGATGGTATACCATTTTTAGTGGAAGTAACCTGTTTGGACATGGCTCTCACAGATTGTGAGTCTTGAGATAACTTCACGCATTGAACAACGCCTTTTGAGAGAACAGATCCATATTCAAAAAGCAGGAGTGCAGGCCAAACGACGAAGTCAACAACTGTTCCAGTCATTGTATAGTGTTTATACATACTGCCATTAAACGTATCACCGCTGTTAACACCTAGATGGAGTACAACTGGAGGATTTTGATTGACCATATGCCAGCATAGATTTATACATTCGAGCACGTAATCCTTGCAATGTTCCGTAAACCGTCCAATTTGGTTTGTTTTGTCACAAGACATAAGATATTTCTGTAAAATAATAGTTGTTCGATAATCCTACTTTTACAATTTTATGAAATAAGATAAAACTGCATTTACCGTTGGTACATGAATAATAACATTTATCTGAATATACAAATGAATTAAAACTCAAGATATCTTAGTACTCATATAGTAAATACCATCTTGTCCATTGTAATTCAAGAACATTTGACTGTGCAGAAGTTACCTAAGTCATGAAGTATGATCGTGCTTTTACCTCTATTTTTACTAAAATTTTCATGGTTCAGTTTGATGTGAACTGATTTGATCAATGCATTTTGTGGATTGGACTTGATCAATGCATTTTGTGGATGTGACTTGATTACGTATTTTGTGGATGTGATTGATCACAATAATTTGAGGTTGTGACTTGATCACTTTATTTTGCACAGTTCTTTATTGACTTTGACTTGAGTGGATGTTTGGTACTCTTTATTAAAATGTTGTGCCACTGTTCATTTGTGTTAACTAGCAGTGTTCTATTACTCTTTTTACATGTTTTAGCTGTGTCTTGCCAACTACTTTTTTATAAGTTGACTGTTGTTTTCCTTATTTCTCGAATGATTTAGTGTCACTAAACTGCTTGTTCTTTAATAACGTTGGTGTAACTGAATTTGTGGATGTGTAGATGTACATGTTCGTATCAAAATTGTCTTTCTTAATAATGTCCATTTAATTCATACATGACATAACGTTAAACATATGCATCAAGGCAAACGAGTACTATTTACCGAAATCATCTGAATTATTCATTAATAAGTCAAAGGTAATTATGTTGTCCCTATAGAGATAATAATTATTAATAATAAGAACGATTGAATAACATACTTTGCATTGTCCATAGAAATATATGTGAAACTTTAAGCTCAAAACAATATTTGATATTTTACCTCAAGAAGATATTCCGTAGACTTTGTCACTGCGAACCGTTTCAATTCATTTAGCTTTATTCGGATGTTTTCTGGTATTGCAGAGTGTAACTAAAACAAGATGTAGTAAGTTAAACAAACACTGTCTGACAACGAGAGTGACAACGATTTATTCGTAAACTATTTATTAACTTTTATTTTATAACAACCAGTGTTCTGGTTATTGTTAGTAAATTGTATTATTTACAATATAATCATGTAAATAGATAACAACGTTTTAAACAGTAAATATAAAAATTTACCTGTCCAACGTATGGTTATAAAGAAGCGAATACAAAGTGAACCATTTCTATTCACCATAATACAATTTTCGAACAAAATCGAATTAACCTGACGCAGTTTACCTCTTTCGTGTCGCTTATTCTAAACATTGCCTTCATAAAGTCTTTTTCCTGCTCGGCGACCTCTTCATTACAGAATTGATAGACATTCTGAAATTAAATATTTAATGTCAGATGGGGCATGTACGAAATCAATGCCAGTCAGTTAAAACCTTAATCTAAATGACAGCATAATATTCTTATCTGTATTATTATATTCTGTTTTATTACAAATTTAACTTGTATTAATGTAGAGAATTTCTATGCTACAACTCACTTGAAAGTTGACGACGACATCATTTTTATCGTAACGATATATTCCATTCCATTAGACCTTTAACGTTTAAGCTCTATTAATATGTTACAGGTATTCATGGCTTGGTTAAATTTTTAGTGTAAGGAAAAAAAAATGATTCGAGTTCAATATTTCCTAAAAAGTTACCAATCTGTTAATCAGGCAACGTGTAATAAGTAATTTTGCAGAGGATAGCATGCACGTGAAGACAGATCTCATAAATTGGTAATGTTAATTATTTGACAAAGTAACAAATATGATAATTAGGCAAGCGTAATAAGGAAGTTTGCAGAGCAATATTAAATGATAAAATACCATGCACACATAAATATGTATATTTAGCATAGGAGTTGGCATAAATACCTGCAATATTTGCTGCAAAGCAGTTATTATTGTTTTTTCCGTCTCATTCAAGAAAAACTCCTCAGCCATTTCAAAAGCATTTGTCCGCTGGTTATCATATAGCTCTTGGTATTTCTCAACAAGTTTTGTTGGTCTATATTCATCGCTTAGATCTGCAATGTCGGGGTTGTTGTTGGATAATTGGTCACCTATCAGTGTACTCAACCTCATAAATAAATAAATCACTATTACATTGACAATTTGTACACAATTCTATATTTCAAGTAGACCTTTGTTTCCAGAGAATTTTGTTCTACCAAAATTTGAATCGACATAAATGCAACATGCATGTTTACCTATTTCGATACAATAAATTTTTAGTGTTAAAAGTTTACCTGGATTTTGTTTCTGAAAGCTCCTTTTCTGCGTTGCCTTTCTCTACATTTAATTGTTTTAAAGATTCGCTCAACCTTGTGATTTCTTCCGCTAAAGCCTTTGCTTTCTCTACCAGGTCATCTTTGGAGCTTTCCAATTCCTTGACACGTGTCGACAGTTTTTTCAGCAGCTTCTCTAAATCATAATTAGCATCTTTGTATGCAATAACTTCTTCCATATGATTAGCTTTTAGTTCATCTTCCTGTGCTCTCAAACTTCGGACTGACGCTTCAAGATCTTGTATTTTTGTAGTAGCAGCATCTAGATCTGTTGATTTTAATTTGTATGAATTTTGAATCTTTCCAAGCTTTTCAGCAAGCTTTGAATTGTTTTCCTGAGCCACACGGAGCTCTCGTTGCAAATCAAAGGTATCACTGCTTTCATGTTGCAACTTAAAAATAAATAACGGTTGATAAGTAAGATTTATATTCTTAAATTGGAAAGCTGTCTAATTTTTTAATCAGTTTCGAAAACGATTAACTTAAAAAAAGTTATGTTTCTATCATTACTAATTTTTTACTCATTTAAAGAAATCATGTTTCAGTATCTCACATAATTGTCTTGTCTATTTTGGAGAGCAATTTTATGTTTAGTTAGTTAACATAGTTAGTTAGTTAGTTAGTTAAGTCAGTTATGTTTCATCTCTTACAGGCTCTGCTAGATGAAGCTCTGCTTTTTCCATCGGAGCTGTATCACTCCTGCCTCCATAATTCGATAAAGTTTCATCATAGCCCTCCGCCATTACAAACTACATGAATGGAAGTTTACATTTTTACATGAATAAATAGAAATAGATAGAAACCGTAGTCAAACGCGAATAGTCAATGTTTACATAGTAAGATTAAGTCACGTATTTTATTACATTATCATAATACACTAAATTAGAAAATGATCTGGCGTAGTCATACCATTTACAGTAAAATAATTTTTATGCTTGATTAATTAAATATACAATCCTAAAATACAAGTACAGTAAATAATTATACTGACATTTTACAATTCGTGACCATTCCATTCATTGAACTTCCTCTATTGATTTCAGCAAATCGTTAAAAAGATATTAATTAACATAAAATCTTATTTGTACATTAATTCGTTTTCATCGTATATTGCACTTAAACAGTCAGTAATACGAAACATATACAGTTTATAAATCACAGTATATTTTTTATATATTACTATAAATACATTTTTCTTACCTTGTCAATAATGAGCTGCGTCTCTATAAGATAGTGGAAATGGTTATTTACGTTGTAAGTTTCAAAAGATTTAAACAATATCTATCTAAAGTACCATGTCATAATTAGTCAAATTGAATACTATGTAAACTTTATGAATAGATGTTTACAAAACTGTAATTTGATATACTTTAACTTGATACTTAATTATGGAACGCCATGACTGTCTTATGTAATCAATGTTTTTGTTGTCTTGTGAAACGACGTTTGAGCATGTTAACATGTGCAATTTACATCATGTCTTGTCAAAGGACCATGCTGACTTGTACAAACAGCATGTTAACATGTCCAATTATTATGATGACATGTGCAGACAAAATGCTAACTTGTAAGTATCGTGATGACTTGTGCAAACAACATGTTAACTTGTCAAAGTATAATGATGACTTGTGCAAATGACATGTTAACTTGTCAAAATGTAATGATGACTTGTGCAAACGACATGTTAACTTGTCGAATTATAATGATGACATGTGCAAACAGCATGTTAACTTGTCAAAGTGTCATGATGACTTGTGTAAACGCCATGTTAACTTGTAAAAGTATAATGATGACTTGTGCAAACGACATGTTAACTTGTCGAATTATCGTGATGACATGTGCAAACAGCATGTTTACTTGTCAAAGTATCATGATGACTTGTGCAAACAGCATGTTAACATGTCGAATTATCATGATGACTTGTGAAGACAACATGTGAACTTGTCAAAGAATCGTGATGACTTGTGCAAATGACATGTTATCTCTTATCATGCTGACATGTCAAAACGTATTGTTAACTTGTCAAAGTATTATGATAACTTGTGCAAATGCCATGCTAACATGTCAATATTCCATGATGACATGTGTAAACAGCATGTTAACTTGTCGAATTATCGTTATGACATGCGCATACGGCATGTAAACTTGTCCAAGTATAATGATGCCATGTGCAAATGCCATGCTAACTTGTCAAAATGTCATGACGACATGTGCAAACAGTATGTTGACTTGTCAAATCATCGTGATAACATGTGCAAACAACATGCCAACTTGTCCAAGTATCATGGTGACTTGTGAAAGCGACATGTTAACTTGTCAAAATTTCATGATGACATGTGCAAACAGCATGTTAACTTGTCAAGGTATCGTGATGACTTGTGCAAATTACATTCTAACTTGTCAATGTATCATGATGACTTGTGCAAATTCTATGTGAACTTGTCAAATTATCATGATGACTTGTGCAAATGTCATGTTAACTTGTCAAATTAACATGATGACTTGTGCAGACAACATGTAAATTTGGCAAAGAACCGTGTTAACTTGCTAAGGTATTATGCGCATGTCATCATGATAATTCGACAAGTTAACATGCTGTTTGCACAGGTCATCATGAAATTTTGACAAGTTAACATGTCGTTTGCACAAGTCACCATGATATTTCGACAAGTTAACATGTCGCTTGCACAAGTCATCACGATTCTTTGACAAGTTAGCATGTTGTCAGCACATGTCATCATAATAATTGGACAAGTTAACATGCTGTTTGTACAAGTCAGCATGTTCCTTTGACAAGACATGATGTAAATTGCACATGTTAACATGCTCAAACGACAAAATAATATCATCGTTTCACAAAATAACAAAAACGTCGATTACATAAGACAGTCACGGCGTTCCATACTTAATAGCCTGATCAAACGTTATTATCTCGTTTACTATCAATAACATTTGTATCACAATTTATACAGGTTGCAATTCGAACTGATGAAAACTGTAACTTGATATAGATCTACTTTAAATTGATAATCAAGGTCTGATCAAACGTTAATATCTCGTATTATATATTTATACAGGTTGCAACTCGAATATGAATACGATCACTGTGCAAGAAAACGGTTAAAATCGTTGAAAAAGAAATATTTATTTCAGTTGCCAACTTAATCTGATATTATCTCTAACTTATTATTTATATACGACTATTCCTAAATTTAGTTTTAGAAACTCGAGCAGTTTAAATTATCATTACCGTTATAATGGTTCAATATTTAACAACGGGTGGTTAAATAAATCTTATATTCACAATAAACGATAGAAAAGAAGAAATTACGTTTAAATTTGGTGTCTATTGTAATTATGAATCATGTATGTGGTTTGACGTTTTATTTCACTGTGTGTTATTCATACAAGGATATTGTTGGCTCTGCTGAGACATGTATATGCTATCAGTATGTATTTCAGTTAGCATTTATACATTTTATACCATACAGAAGTCATTACGCATATAAATTTAACATACATTTACACAGTTTCTAAATTTTAATATATAAAACACGTGTACAAAAACAACACACTTATTGAACCATACGAAAGACTGGTGGGGACATTTAAGCTTTATGATTTCCCTATTTCATCTACATGAAATCCTGATTCCAACTTCGTGAATTCCCGATTTCAACTTCATGAATTCACGATTTCAACTTCACGAATTCAACGTCGTAAATTCAAGTTGAAGTTGAAATCGTGAATTCATGAAGTTAAAATCGTGAATACATGGAGTTGAAATCGTGAATTCATGAAATTAAATTCGTGAAGTTAAAATCGTGATATCATGAAGTTGAAATCTTAATATCATGAAGTTGAACTCATAAATTCGTGAAGTTGAAATCGTAAATTCGTGAAGTTCAAATCGTGATTTCATGAAGTTGAATTCGTAGATTTGAAATCGTGAATTCATGAAGTTTAAATCGTGAATTCATGAAGCTGAAATCGTGATATCATTAAGAAAAAAATCACGAGTGAACTCTTGAGATTGAAATTGTGAATTCGTGAAGTTGAAATCGTGAATATACGAAGTTGAATGCATGAAGTTGAAATCGTGTATCCATGAAATTGAAATCAGAAATTCATGAAGTTTAAATCGTGATATCATGAAGTTGAAATAGGGAATTCATGAGGTTGAAACCGTATATTAGTGAAGTAAAAATCTTGAATTGTCGTAGTTGAAGCGTGAATTCATGAAGATGAATTCGTAAAGTTAAAATCGTAACATCATGAAGTTGAAACCGTCAATCCATGAAGTTGAAGTCATGAATTCATGTGGTTGAAATCGTGAATTCACGAAGATGAATTCGTGAAGTTAAAATTGTGATATCATGAAGTTGAAATCTTGATATCATTAAGCTGAACTCATGAATTCGTGAAGTTGAAATCGCGAATTCACGAAGATGAATTCGTGAAGTTGAAATCGTGAATTATCATAGTTGAAACGTGAAGTTGAACTCATAAATTTGTAATTCATAAAGTTGATAGTTGAAGTTGAAATCGTGAAATCATGATGTTGATATCGTGAAAGCATAAAGTTGAAATCGTGAATTCGTGATTTCCGTATGTTAAAAGCGAGAATTCACGAAGTTGTAATTGTGAATTTATGATGATGAAATTGGGAATTTATGGAGTTGAAATGGCACTACCGGTCTTTCGTAGAACCACACTTTCCTTCACTGAAAGGAAAACATGCATCATTTAATCATTACACCATTGACTTAAGTTACAGTGAAAAAACGTGATAGGTATAAAATATAATCGACTCCTACAGTACAATATATACAATAAAGAGCACTTAAACACTATCTCTGTTGATTCAATTATTTCCTCTAAAGGCAGCCCCCTTTTTTTTTGGGAACATCCTGATAATATCAGAAGCAATTAAACAAGAGTAAGAGAAAATGAAAATTGAAATGACACATACGGTTCTGTTTCGTCGAATCAGCGGATCTTAAAAAAACTTAAACGTCGAAACTGTAAAGCGACGAAACGATACGCTGAAGCGATGATACAAAACAAGATATAAATATTGTGCCTTTGTATCCTCTCGCCATTCGGTATGCATTATCTTGTCGCTTCGGTGTAACGTTTCTCCGCTTTTGGCTTATCTTTATGCAACTTTTATCACTGATCACCCTACTTCTACTGCATCACGAACGCAGTGCGGGCGATTTTGTATATTCTGACATCCTTTCGGTAATTTACGATGAATGTAAGTACCGTTTGCAGTTTTTACCTTCACAATTCATTGTATTTTACTTTTAAATACATTCGCAAATTTTTCATGATAATTAGCATAGGTCATTTGGTTTGCTGCTTTAAAATATCTTATCGTGTTATCGTCTCACTGCGTTGGTAAATCGTTTGGTCGCGTTGGCATCTCTAGTCGCTCTAGCCGAACTTCTTGTTATGTCTTCTCGTGCATGTGTAATGTTCCAGATAACATACGATCGATGTTGATCTTGATTCATATGTAAGGGAAATATTTTACTCCTGTTTTAATTTTAATTGCAAAGTTATCAAGTTGTCAACATGGGTGTATCAATTTGGATACGCATGTGCATGAGTGAAAGGTGTAGTCGCCACAGAAATGATTGCTTCAATGGAACATGGAAGACACAAGTGCATTTTAAGGTATTCACCATTTTGGAAACAGTACGACCCTGTCGGTCAAAAAATTTACTCAACCTAATTATTGGTCTGGCTTTGGGTGTGGGGCGAATCCACAAACACAAAAGAAAATAACCAAGAATAAAAAGAAAGACAGGGGAAATAACACCCGTGATATCATATCTGCTCTTTTTGCCGCCGTTTGTCCGTCAGTCCCACTCTTGTTAAATGGTTTCTGAAATATAAGAAATTATGTTAATTTTGTTTTAACTTCAGTATGATATGAATACATATATATATTCTGTCTTGATACTAACTTTTGGACAGAAATTAATGAATTAATGATCTAGAAGTTCAGTTATATCAATTGTCATCTTCATATTTTTGCCTTGATTTGACTTTATCAAAAGTAAATTGCGAAAATCATATTTATAAAGAACCTGATTTCTATCTATTATTAATATTTTTTCCAAAATATTATTCGCATTATATCATCGTGTTTTTACCGGATGTTCTCGCAATTTTCGAATTTTGATTCTCGTAGACAAATAACGTAATATCATCTTTTTAATAATGAAGTAATGTATACATAGTTTGAATCGTTTTTGAATAGTATCATATATTGCTACATTACATACCTAAATTCAAGACGAAATATGACAAATTGACTTTTAGTATTTACACCGTTTCTCCCCTACAAACAACTTTGATAACAAGATACAACAGCAGTTTCATTTGTATGTAAAAAAAGAAATACCGTCAAGAATGCTATCCATGCATTCGTTTTCGGTTTAGGCTCGTCCTGTCTTTTTTGTTTGCCATCCTGAAAGAAACAGTTATTTACTATATCCTCGTTATCAATATGGTACCTTTTTAAATAATACAAAATAAAAGGATAAAAATGATGGTAAACAGTCAAACACATTTATTTTACACGCTAAATAAACATACCATATCATTCTCTTCATTACTGACTTCAGATCTTGTTGTTTTCTTTGACTTTGCCCGCTGTAGAACATTCACATACGCAAATTCAAGTAACGCAGCAAACACAAAGAGTAGACACACGAACATCCAAATATCTATTGCCTTGACGTAAGACACTGGCGGAAGTGACTGTCGTATACCGGAACTTTGTGTTGTCATGGTAAGCACGCAGGTTACTCCTAGAGAAACTCGAGCAGGTACAGCATTTGGATCAACCCAGAACGACACCCAAGACAAAACAACAAGTAAGATACTTGGTACAAACACTTGTAGAAAATAGAAACCGACTTTTCTCGTCATCACAAGATTTGCTTTTAACGCCGAGAACGTTCCGGCTAAAAATTTATAAAAAAGTAAATGGATTAATATTATTGATATATATTTTAATTATGTTGTAAGTGATCTGCGTTGCATAGTTCTAAAATGTAGTTTTTCTAGATACCTCCTTTGACGTGTATAAACATCATACATTATTAAAACTATAACTACGACTTTAGTTCTTATCTTTAAGACAGTTTGTATTTTCAGTTTTTGAATTGATTGTATCTTAAGATAATATTCAAGGTATTTTTTATCGTATTTTATTACATTGTTGGCCTAATCGTGTGCCAAAGTGACAATATAGTGTTTAATTCATATAGAACTGAACGAGCATAACTTATTTATCACACTAAATAACATATATGTTTCCCCATGTAAACGTATATTCCACATAACTATAGATAATTTTTTGACAAGACAATAGTTTGTTTCTAGAAATCTAAATTGAAGTAGCAGCATTTGTGAAAGCTAGTTCCTTTGGCAGTTATGAGTATAATTGTGCATTCTCTTTTTTTTTGTCGTGTCATATTATTCTTATCACGAGAGAACGTTGAAAGATTTATTTTTTGTTAAAACATCATACACCAGGAGAACTTACTTGCCGAGTAACGATATTCATAGTCATTGGTAACTATTTCATCTTCTAGTAACGTAAACTGTGGCATCTCAAGATGATCTGTGATAATACCCTGTCTCTCGTGCCAGTGTAACTTTATGTTGTCATTCGTGTAGCCAACTGAATATAAAATATCAACAACACACAACTACCTCCTTGTTATTATGTAAATCATAGCATTACGTTATATTAATTTACAAAACATAAAACTTTTTACTATAAAGATGTAAAAATCTGTATTATGATTTAACAACAATTCATACAATACATTTTATGAATTATTAAGAGTGTAAATTCAAGTGTTGTTCTCAGCCACACTTAATATTTAAGTATGACATTTATCTTATTTCACGGTAATTATTTTTTTAACTCATAACGAACAAAAGAAGATATTATTTCATATTTTTGTTATATTCAAGAAATCATGCTACCTTACGAATTATTAACTAAAATACGGCATAGCGTAGAACATGTAGAATAATATAGAACAGTTACTCTGGTGTACTATGGGAGTAAACTTACAGCTCTGTATATCAATAGAGCATTGCTGGCTATCAAATGGGTAGTACTGTAACAACATTGTACATCCCAGGGACAAAGACAATCTGCAACAAAATGTTGCTTATATTACCTTTTAAACAATTCAACAATGTTGAAAAGTCAGTACTCATGTTTATTTTCAAGCATTTAGTTTTAGTTTTTATATTCTCTAAACATAATAAATTTATAATATTTTCTTTGCAATTTAAACATACCTTTTAAAGTGAAAGTATGCCAATCAAAAGGTATATAGTGAGTGAACAGGGGAGAGTCCAAATAAATTTTCATTTTGCCATAATTCCTTTTGATTTAATAATTTACTTCGCATAAACAATAAATAACCCTCATACCATCTAGAATTTACCTGTAACGTTCAATTTATAATACGAGTGGGACAGTCTTTTAATATTTTAGGCAGATTTTGAATTTTATAATAAACATTTCCAATATAAACTGTTGGTCAAACACCAATCAAACAGTCAATCTTTTGAAAAATAAAGTTAATTCAGCTCAACTTGACTATAAAAATATGAGCATAATGTCACTTTAAAATAGTGTAAAACAATTGGTTTCAACAAAATGAAAAAAGTGATAGATACTTGAGACGCATAAGAATGTCTGCATTTCAAGAGACGGTAATGATGACCCATTTATGAAAGTATAAAGAAAGCAATACAAAAATGGAAGACCGGATACCTGACGCTGTATACCACGGTTCCATTCCGGAAGATATGCATCAATTTGTTTGTTGACGTCACGGTATGTACATATGCTCTCTTTTCATTTGGGAAGAAGATATCCGGTTGCCATACATTGTCGGTATTCTTTGAGTCAAGTTCGAGTTTAGTATCACTTGTCGTGTTTGCAGTAAAATCTAGACGCGGATCTCGCCACCACATACGTAGATACACGTCTATAGAATATTCCTGGTGATAAAATATCAAATAAATAGAGGAAAGGTACTTCTACAGGTGACTCAACAAACATAGATGAAAGACTGTTTAAAAACGTAATCATTTTAACCTGCTTAAAATATTTACGGTTCTTCACATAAAACGTTTTAAGGACACTTGGAAAAACAATGAAAATCGGAAAGTTGCACCCATTCATTTAACATTTCTGGTTTCTGTGTATCTATAGCAGACATATATGATTTCAAAAAGTTTTATTCAAACAATATAAGGTGCTAGAAACGAAAAGTATAAAGAATAGCATGTGGTTACTCGCATTTTGCACGAAAAATTACCCTGAATATTTTTAACTTCTATGATTGAAACATAAAATAAACTAGAATAGAGGATCTTTGTTGCAGCAGTAATACAAATCTTAAAATAAATCATGTTTTGTTAATTACCATTTTTGCTTCACTGATAGAATGCATATCGTGAATAGTGATTTGTATGGTAACATTTGTTGGAAATTCTGAAATGATCAAATAAAAAAAATCATAACAACAATCGAGTACAGATACGGTCGAAATTATCATTCGGATTATTTGTATCTTTTAAATTGTATTTTGTATTACAATAAAAATTGAAATCGTTTTAAGATAATATGACTGGTACGAAAATCATTCTACTTTATGTCAGTAACATACAATATGTTCATCTTAAATCCGTTGAGAAGATGACTTCTTGTTTTAAGAGATAAACTAAACAGTTGTTTACTATCATTTTATGGTTTTAAACACTTTGAACGATTTCTAACGCTAATGTAAAGTATGTTAATCCATTACCCCGGATAACCTTGTACGATTTTAGTCATGCAGATGCTTCTCTGTTCCGTGTGTGATCAATAGCTCTGTCGGACAAATATTCAATTAAATACAATGGCTTAATGCGTAAATATTTAACGAATGTAAATTAGTTGCTTTTAGACGTTGTCAGTGAAATACATTATGTAATGAAATATTCATGAAAGTTTGCTGGAAATACCATATCACATACCTTCATCAAAGTCAGGAACAATATTAGCATCATATCTAGAGGCGTTTAACAAATATGAAGTGATCTCTCGTCTGTAAATATTGAATTATGATTAATTTCTAACTCTATCAACTTGAAAATATATGTTCTTGTTAAAACACAAATGACAAAAATGACATTTAAGATCCACTTTAAGTCTGTATTAGACGCCGTAGTGGAGAGTCTCCTATTTTTGGTTTGTTTCCTTAAGAGTACTCTGCTAGTGTGGCTGGGTTGTGTTGGGTCTGCGTTTTGTAAACGTCGCCTTACCTTATTGATCTTAGTTTTCATTTTTGTATTTTTCAAACGACTTTTATCATCCATATCTTGTGATTTATTCATAATAATGAGAATTATTTCAAGCGAGGAAGCTGTTTATTTATGAGATAAATTGTTTGTGACATGTAAATACATCTATGTTAATCCTCAGAAGATGCTACTTTACCTTCACAGTTTTTATAAGGAAGAATGCTAAAGAAAAATACAACAGTTGTTCTCTTAAGCTTCGGTGAAAAATATTATCCAACATTTGCTGATGTATTTCACCTACCCTTCATCTAATGAAATATCTTAATGCTAGTTTTTTGTTTGTTTTGTTTTTGTTTTCATTATACCTCTTAAATTTAGATGAGTAGAGCATGCTTCTTTACCTTGACAAAGCCTCGCATCTGGTTGATGAGATAAGAATTCCAGAAAACACGATGATTGAAGTATATATACTTATATACATCTTCTTATATTTACATCAATTTAAACTAATCTGGAATGAAACAAAGATCATTACAATAACACACAAATAAATCCTCTATTTTTTTTAACAACAATGACATGAGTTGTCCATCGCTGAGCGGTGAGGGGCAAGTGATTTGAAGTCAATGACCACTCGGTCATGAAAACCCCTAAAAAGTCATTTCTAAAATAGATTAAGAATATTCAGATCCTTTCCTGTACAAAAAATATAAACAAGTTCTAAAGTGATGAATACGTCATTAAATAACCAAATAAAAACATTGAAAAATATAGGAACTCCACAGAGATCTAAAAATTTGAATTTTTTACATAGATCAACTAGGGGACTTCAAACACGAAAATAAGCTATAGATAATCTAGAAATTACCAAGGAATAATTTAGAAATCGTCATTTTGTGATATTCATAGATATTGGAGCGAAAGGTGTTGCTACGCTTTTCATTTTATGCGTCATTTTTCACAATAAGCATAATTATTCTTGGAAAAATGAGTGATCTGAAAATTTGCGCGCTAATTCTTAGTCTAGACTTACATCAAATGGGACATAAGTCCTCGGAAAAAATATTTTTAGTCCTGTCAGGTAAAAAAAAAACTCAGTGAAGACCTTTAAATTCAATTTACTAAAAGTATGTTAGAGTTAATTAATTGATGTTTTATCATTTAAAGGGAAATATAACTTTTGTCAATATTTCAAAAGCAGATATATTCTAAACCTCAATAAATGTATAATCCTTAACACTGAATACATATACTACATGAAACTATAAAACTGATGCAGCCCCTTTTCTTTTTCAAATCTTATTACTTATGACATTTTTTTATTCCAACCATCTTAAGTTATCAAAGAAAGCCGGTTTGACTGATCAACAGCCGGGATATGACAAAAACTGTATTAATCAGCTTACAAATCAGACAATTATACCTCAGATATGTTTATATTAATTATTATTGATAATCATATCGGACATTCATTTATCTGGTTTAAAGTTTGATTTGTACTCAAAATGAATTGTATTTTTTCGTTTTTGAAATATTGAACGTTTGTTCCTAAGATGTTTTACATTCATAAAAAGGCTTTTTAGAAATATAAACTAATAAAACAGCATTGTCGATTGTTATCTATTATAACTTTTTAATTTTACTGGTTTGGTATGCGTGGTTGCACATTTCTAAACTCTTTTCTTTGGTACAAGTAAATGGTTAAATGTCTATATAGATCAATACAAATGGATTGATAAAACATGCTTGCATCAACTTAATATTTGTTGTGATAGACAATACATTTGTAATAGTTATTTTCAACATTTTTACACAAACATTGATTTCAAGTTTAAAGTTTAGGAAATAAAAAACATGTATTTAAGATCACTAATATTTAAGAGAATCAGTGTAAATTTTCAAGAAATAACTGAGTAATGCAGGGTCAATTAATGTAATGCAATAAAAACGACGTCATTTATTCCATAATGAATCTTATCTAAACTTAACACTTTGAACGCAATGCAACGCCGCCTTGTTTATCATATTTTAAGTTAGTACTGGAATATAATAACAAGAAAAAAAAATCTTATTCTCTTATTACAAAATTCTGTTACATATATTTCAGTATTAATCTTGCTATAAATCTTTACTTACATCAACTATCCAAGGTACTCCATATTGTAATAAATACAGGTTGATGAAAATTAGTATTACATGTAAACTGCATGTGGAAAAAGCATAACTACAACAATTCCGATAGATAAAGATATAACATTCCCCAATGATGCTAGTCGCACTACAGTACGTTAATTACTTCATTAATAATTACCTTACCGTTAGTACATATGTTTTTGTAATAAAATATCGTAGCTTACCAACTTTTCAATTCTTCTGAAATATAACGATATGATATTGATGTTTAAAAAAGGAATGTTTGTTAATATGAATTTCGAATGAGTGTGTTTTATAAATACATATGTTCAGAAGATGCTGTCTGAAACAATAAATTGTCAATGTTCTTTTTATGTGACTGTTTAACAAATTGTTCCATTTATACATGTAGATTATTTGAAGTACTATAAATGCTTTGTTTCAATTCAACCTCTTCAACAAAACGAAACATATTTATTTTCTAAGCGTTAACATGTTAACGAATAATGGCAACAACAACAACAACAACAAATGAAAAAGGGGACTAATGCTGATCAATAGAATCAAACACACAAAAGCTCATAACTAAAAATAAACACAAATAATGCGTAGTAACTGTATGCATGTATTAATACAACATTATATAATTGTGTATAGTTTACAATGAAAATGCTGCACACAGCACATGCACACATTAAGACTGCCACATGTGAAACAATGAACAAATATTATTGATTTATTTTCTAAAAAGTATATATAAACAGAAATAGAATCCACAATATATACATGCTTAACTGGCAAATGATAACAAAAATGTAGGTATATAATTACCAGATGTTAGCTTTTGTCCAGCGTTGCGTCGAATAATTAATACAGCTCCAACGCTTGCAATATTTTCATTTCGGCAGCTTTCTTTAAGGGTTTTATTTCTCTCTATTTTATCGTTACATCAGCGTTGTTCGTGCCGTGTGGATGCCGTAAAAAGTTGCCCCAAACATTCAATTAAAGATGTTTTATAATTCAGATCCTTGTAGATCGTTCAACACGACATTTTTGTTTTGTTCATGGTTTCTTTAGTATTGCTTACTTGAATGATATTTAATCGCCATTAGGATATGTTGCCTGCTTTTTAATTTTGTCTCTTGGCAGCTTTTCTGTGATATTCAGGCTTCCTAACCTCTGATGATTCTGATCCCGTTTCAAAATTCAGTTATATTTAGTTCCGCCTATTGTTTCCTGTTGGGTGCACACGCATTCTTTTACTCGGGGATCATACGCCGATTTTCATTGAATGAATCTAAATAGTCACATTGAAGGTTCTGTAATTACCGCGATTTACACACATCTGCGGATATTTCAAAATTCAAAATGATTATCATTTCATATTAAATGCAGAATAATGCTTAAAGCGGTAATATAGGTGGCCGGTAGCTTGCAATTACCACTACCGTCCATGAACAGGCTTAACAAAACAGAGCCTGCAATATTTTCAATCCTTATCAGGCTTTCTTTTTATCCATTTCAGACAGCGCATGGTTCACTGACCGATAAGAAGGAAAAATTATAAAAATAATATACTGAAATAAATGAACCAAAATAATATATTTTCATATTGTAATGTTTCAAAACTTTCAACGAATGACTTTTAGCAATGAATATGAAAATATATTCTACCGAGTAATATTTTGGCTTTATTAGGTCAGTTAAATATTCATACAATACACGTCTTCTTTTATATTCTTCGTGTTCATAAAAGAGTGTTTGTTTCATTTTCATAAATTTAAATGAAATAATAATCGGCATCAGATACCATATAAAATATTTATTTTGAAAATATTTTGAGTCAAACGACATTTATATTTGTATGTCTTTAATATTGTTTTTGTAGTACTGAATGGACATAAATATAAATTATAGACCTAAGGTAACAATGATGTTAATAACGACATGGCTGAAATGTCCACTAATAAATTTAGAGCGGTATTTCGCCGTGATTTGGAGGATAAACTACAAACATCCGTCGTCCTGCTTTATCATTTAACAATAAACACCGCATGTCACAACCTTTATTCACATAAATGTTTGCATGTCTCTAGAGTCGTAAGTTTTGGTTAATATTTATATTCAAAACACATAGAAACATAGAAAATCTTGGCTTAAAGTCTTCGTGCATTTCATTTTTGACAAATTTTGAAGGTATTTACTTTACATTTACATTTACTGTTCACAAACTGTCAAGGGACTCTACTACGAGTAACTACAGCATGAGTTTTGACTAAATTCTATCTTTTTGTTAATATAAAAAACCTCCTACATTACTAGTGTATATGCTGTTGTTTAATTATCGAGTATCGTTCTGTTCGGATGACAGTCATGCTGTACACTTGTTTTTAATTATGTTTGCTCATATACAAGACAACTAGCATACCTTGACATAATATGCTACTAATGGAATGCTTTATATGTATGCGTGTAATACATTGTTCCATATTGTCACTTGACATTAGGCACCACCTTAAACCACATTGAATACATTAATATGTATATAGACGATGCATTTGACCGTCTAGAATGATACTACATATCTTAAAACATTGATGGGTGATGGGCTGATTAATAACGTGAAATGACTAAAAATTAGTCAACTTCGATTAACAATTCATTTTGTAAATGCACGATTTTTACAGTGTTGTTTTATTTCATAAGTGCGCATTAAATTATAGTTTGAAGACATATCTAATTAACAATATATATATTACTTTGTTGTGTATTGATGCATACGAAAAATACTCGGGCATGCTTTACTCACGTTATCAATTAAAATAGTAAACAATTTAATTTTATATTTGTCCCGAGTGTATTGTATATCTAACATACACATTTTACAGTTCATTTATTATTGACAGTTCATTATTGCCGGTCACAGACCGAAACTTATTTTGATCTATCCGATTATCTACATGGACATATTTTGCCAATTTATATGTTAACATGTTTTTCTTTCACCAGTGCTTCATAGTCACATTTGCAATATGTAAACAAAGTAGTATGTTAATCAGTATATTTTTATTGTCACCACCTAACGTTCCTAAATGCTGCACCTTCATCACGTTGTATAGAAAAAAATCGATTTTTTTTATTTTGTGATTATCATACTAAATTGGTTTGTAAAATTGGTCTTTTTTGACAGCTTATCAGTGATATGCAGGCTTCATAACCGCTGATCCCCTTTCAAAATTAAATTCTATTTTGTTTTGTTCCGCCCATTGTTTTCTCGTTGAGGGCACAAATAGTTTTTTTACTTGGGGACCTTACGCCGCTTTTCATGGTGTTACATTGAAGGTTCCATTATCACCGCCGTATGAACACATCTGCGTATGTTTCTTAATTCAAAATTTTATCATTACATGTTTAAATGTTGAATACTGCTTAAGCCGGAGCTTGGGTGTGACCTGTAACTTGCACTTTCCAGTACCGTCAATGAATAGATTCAATCAAACTGAGCTTGCAACGTTTTCAATTTTGTCGTTTTTGACTTTATTCTTTATGGATTCTATTTCTCTCTTTTTTCTAGCAGGGTAGAAGAAGCTATGGTTCTGGAGTCGGTATAAAAAGACTGATTTTACCTCAAAGTGGTATTACCCACCAATCTCTATGCATCGACTCCGAATATCAAAGTCTTGTAGTAAAGAGAAGGTGTTCGTCTGTAGTGTAGAACGTCTGTTGTTTCTCTTTGTATATTTCGTCATACCTAAATCATTTTCAGATAAGAACATGGTATATAAAGTATATTGCATTAAATTCTAGCTTATATAAATGCTAACAGACATACATAGGATACCAAGGTGTTATAAATCAAGACAAGGGAGTTGATAATCATGATATTTACAGATCTGGTTGATATTAGTTCCATTAATCATTACTGTTGTTTCTACGATGTGCTGCATTATGGTACATTATATAACGCTATCTCAGAGAGGCAGATGCAGTACGTGCATATTCTCTATTTTATACAAGTGACAGAAGTGCAATCATTTAAATGTTATCTTTTCCCTTATCAGTCACTCACAAATAAAAAGTGGAATTTCATCAAACTGCTCTCTTTAGCAAACTGAATATGTTTTTAGAATTTCAGTTTATACAACTTTATTTGTTCGATTATGCTAGAAGCTATAAGCTTATTAAAACACTTAAACCAACCAGTACTAAGCAATGAATGTAAAGTTTATTGCTCAAGGAAACAACGACTTGCCCGTGACTGTGTTTGAACCCACGCGGTCAGCAATCCTTAGGTTACTAGTTCGACGCGTTTACCATTCGGCCACTCTTAGAATTTTAAAATATGAAAATAAACAAATTATTAAAATCATTAGGTTTGATCTATAAATTATATCATATTTTATCAATAAACGTATCATTTTTTCAAACAACCATATCTAAACGTTGATAATTTTAAGGTTATTTTCATGACAACAATTTCATAAATATCTATTTAAAATTAATTTGGATTGACATTTTGTTTAACCATTCATTTTGTTCTAAGAATAAATGTTGAAAGCTTCCTGCAAAAAAATCATTCTCCGATAGCTGACAGCTTTTTAAATCTATAAAGTATGTTTGCAACAGCAGTCCAGGGTCACTTCTAAAGCTGAAAATTATATCAAATATAAAAAGTTAAAATTAAATAGATGTAAATAGGTATTAACAAAACACTTGAGTTAACAATAAAAAGAAGAAAAGCAAAAAAAGAATATTGATTAATCTTTAGGGAACAACACCATGCACAAATACTTGCCATTTACACAATCTGAAATAATCTGTAATTATAAATTACTGGTGTGTATATTTGTTTTAGAACCTACGTACACATCTGCATTCCACTGCGCTCTCGTGAAGATTTTTTCATAAACTGCTTTCATAGGAACTAATACTTATCTTCTTGTTCAGTGTAAAGTTTGACAAGTATTTAAGCTGTACAATGAACTTTACTTAATTAATGATCACTGCATCATTCAAAGCTCATAATTAAGATGTTCTACTGATTAATACTTAAAAAATACCCCTGAATAGGATGTGTAATTGTAGTAAATATTAATTTACTTATTTTATCAATTTATATAGAGGGGTTGTCCTTCCTTGTCGTTATAACGGCTGGCGGGTGAAAACAAAATAATCCAGGGAAGTGGTGATGTTAATAAAGAAAACTACTGCCTTTAGTTCTATACATACACCTATTAGACATATTATACCACTATCGAATAAGCATATTTCTTAGATGAATATTTCACTACCGGTTCAAAAATTTACTCATCAAAATATAGGTTTCCGCAGTAAGTTACTAAATAAAAAAATAAGTCGATAGTGTTTAACAAACATTAAGGAAGTAGTTAATATCCTATCATTTTTGTCAGTAAATTAAGCGTTTTGGTCTGGTTAAATAAGTCATAAGTTATTGGAAGAATGTCGATTTAGTATTCGCTATCCTTAAACTGCTTTGATTAATACATCTGTCTGGGAAGATATTTATTAAAATACTAATATTTTGAAAATTGAAAAGGTCCTCTTTTCAAAAATGTAAACAACTATTTACAGTCAAACTATCGACCACTTACTTTGATTAGCTTTATTGATAATGTTGTGGAAAGGGTAAATATTAAAAAACATATGTACATGTAGTAACTAAATATATCTACTATAAACAGGCATTCTTCCCATTTAATATATTTGTGAATGATTTGAAGATAGAAAGCATTCGATTAAAACATAAGTAGGATGATAGGAAGGTTAACTCACCTTCTTCGTGTTTGTGGATCTGGAGAAGCATTAGAAATTTTACACATGTTAATGCACGAAAACAATATGGATCATCAGCGCTATTCAAGTATATAATTTACATTTGATACGGTATGTCAGCGTTTATTTTTGTTTTTAGTAAGCATAAAAACATTATAGTTATGTTTTTTGCCAAATTCCTTTTTATCGATACATTGTTTGATGTTGTAGATCATCACAAACACATAGGTCTAATTATTATACCATCCATGAAAATGTGAGTAACGTTTATTTAACATCGTTTGGAGTTTTGATGCGTATGAATTGACCACAAAGGTCGTAGGGCTGAGTGGTTAATTTTTTCGCATCAAGACGACAAAACCGGTGAAAAATAGCCGATAAACACCGCTAAGACCGATATTATTACGATTTTCACACGATAAAATAAGGAAGATCACTAATGTAATTTTTCAAGCGGAAATAATTTCCGGTGCCGATTTTCGTAAAACGTTGTTCGGGTTTCGCACCCTACTGTTGCTAAGATATAGAAATTATAAAACAAAAGTAATAATAATAAAAACGTTATTTTATCAAGTTATCAACAATAAAAACTTACGTCTTAGAATGGGGTGTATTGTTTTTACATCAGTGTCCCAATTATCATTCTTGTATGTTTTAAATGACCTCAGCGTTTATGAATGAGTTGTATATTTAGGATGACGTCACTAAGGATTGGTGCCGTTTTGTCAAAATGTTTATAAACCACCACGGGTAAGCAACTTTGGTCACGTGACCACAAAAGTCAACGTACACGGCAAAAATAGCTCGGCTGAGGTTTTTTTTCTATCGAGCCAATTCAAATTATGCTACATAGCCTACCGACCGCGGCAGTTCCGATGCTTTCTTAAAATGTATTTTGTGTCGTCCAACATTTTGTATTTTATGAGATCATTCAAACAATGTTTTCAAATTGTCGATGACAACGTACATACTATTGTATAAAAGTGTTGATGATAACTTGATAAACGATACGCATGTCAGACAGCAGGAAACCAGTTCTTTTTTCATTAAAACATTCTCCTATATATTTTAAGACCTGAAATTTTACTCAGAACTGACATGCGTATCGTTTATTAAGTTTTCATCAACACTTTTACACAATAGTGTGTACGTTGTCATCGACAGTTTGCAAATATTGATTGATTGTTCTCATTAAATACAATACGTTAGACGAAACAAAGTACATTTTAGAAAGCATCGGAACTGCTGCGGTCGGTAGGCTTTGTAGCATAATTTAAATCGACTGGACAGAAAAATAATCACTAAAAAACCTACCTCCGCCGAGCTATTTTGGCCGTGAACGTTGACTTTTGTGGTCACATGACCAAAGTTGCTTACCCACGGTGACAAACTGATAAGGATCAAATATGTGGCGTTAGTGTATGTGATATATTATTTCGGTATTGTATGTAAGAAAATATCATAAGAACTGAAAATATAAATAAAAATGCTTTTTTATCGTTGCTTTAAACAATATGATAGAGGGTCAAAACATAACAGCCGCATATACAAGTAGTCCCTAACCAGTGTTTATTGGCAGTTTAACACCTGTTTTATTTCTTCTTTGACTATAGTGACACAATCACGTGGAGTGTAAGAATATAACACAACAGCGGCGTAGCTTTTTATTTGTTGTTGATTTTCACACTATAGTCTGTCCCACCAAATTTGAATATTTCATTTTTAATTGAATATTATAGAAAAATCATTTTACTAATTGTCATGCTAAATCTAACGTCATTACCTCTAGGCATGTTTTTCTTTTTTTTAAATCAATACAATGACCTGTTAATTAACTTAAATTTTGTACAGTTTGAATTGTGTCTATTAATATATATCAAGTATTTTCAAAAATAATTAAAATCATCAGGTCCGATGAATTAAAAATCTGAAAACAAAGTAATCCCTTGGAATAAAATTACATGAAAATAACTCGGTTTGAATGTGTCTGTACATGAGGGATTATGAATATGTGCAACATCCCTCACGGCCCCTATCCTTCTTATTTTGGGCGCGATGTTCGTCCGCTAAAACTATTTGTAAGTTTCAACTTTCAAAACAGAAACTGACTTAATGCTTAACATGTCAAATACATTATAAAATTGTAAATTTCTAACAGTTTAATCAATACTTATGTTCATATTATGAATATGATTTATAATGTCCAACATTAATACATTATAGGCGTAAATACGCATGGAATTTGTAAAACTTTTCTTCTTAATAAAAAAGTTTTTCATGAAACGCAAAAATAATTCACTTCTTTCATGTCTTTGGGGAAATTGATTCACAATTAACCTCCAAGATTGGTTGGATTGTTTTAAACAGTAAACGTGTTAACAATGTCTTATGAAATCGGTTAAGGTGTTTTTAGTAAAATTGAAATCCACCCTGAAATCTTTGATTTATATTTTTTTCCCTCTTAATATCACTTTATTGTTATCCATTATGTCGGAGTTCAAGTGCAAGTGTTTTTTTTAATGTTTGTTTTGTTGAAGTCATATCGACACTGTAGAGGTAATATGCATTATGATAACTTTTCAAACCTACCGGTGGACGGACACCCCAGATATGAGCGGGGATTGTATCACAGAATTGCTCTTATATGCGTACGTACGTAAAGCTGTTATTAATCCAGCCAGAGAATGTAAAAACAAAGTATCTGAAAAATATGATATCCCGCCAGTGAATAGTCAGATTTTGTTTCAAAATTGAATCGTATGCCTTCAAAAATGCTCCTTCAAAGAGAGTAAAGTACAAAGTTATTTTGCAAATGGTTAACCCGGTGCTGGAGGGTATGAGAGACAATAGCAACTTTCATGATCCGTCATACCTCAGACAATCATACCAAGTTGCATTGTTCCCGATCTCAATTATCTCTCATTTGTATTGTTAATACTACTCTTTATGCACTGACCTACTTACCGTTCATGCACAAAGGCAGTCAGTTACAGTTTACACATGAATACACAGGTTGAGCTAAATCAAAATGTAAATTTTCACAATATTAGTTTTTCATGTGTGCACACGTTTCCAGCTAGCTGAAGTATTTCAGGAAATTCAACTGGAGTAAGAGCATTAAAATTTGTCACCACTTCATGTACAGTAAGACTCAGCCTGGTCCTCCAACCATTTATTGTTTTGGTTGAGCGTGTGGGGCGAATCCACAAACACAAAAGAAAATAACCAGGAATAAGATGAAAGACAGTGGAAATAACACCCGTGATATCATATCAGCTCTTTTTGCCACCGTTTGTCCGTCAGTTCCTCTCTTATTAAAAGTTTTCTGAAATGTATGATATTATATTCATTTTTCAATATAATCTATATATGGAAACGCATATTCTGTCTCAAATCTAACTATCAAACATAAGTTTGGAATATCTCTAAAATTTGATAAAGAAGATCAACAAGGAAAGGCGGCGTCCAATCCATTATAACGAATTTGTTTCTATTGCCTTTTTTAATTGAAAAATGTATCCCATTATCCAGATATTTTCCAATTTTGATCTTTGTAAAGAGTTTTAATCGTGTTCTTTTTTCAATAACGAATAGTAAGTCATAATAAGCTTCGTAAATAACATCCTGTATGTGATAATACATCTGATAAACAGCAACAATAACACATTCCAGACAGTTTGCCGAGCAAATATATAAACACTACTTTTGAATATATTATATGTTTATATACCAAATCAAGGAACTTTATTCAGTTCAATTAGATTACTGGAAATATTAAATGCTTAAATTTGAAATTCAACCAAAACATACGGAAACGTTTTATTTGACTAATGGGGACATGTTTTGCATTTGTTATTCCAATGTCATAATTTTTTATCGAAAGATTTATCTTTTAAACATAATTTTCAAAAGATTCTTCCAGATCTTATCAACCTTGTGTTATACAATTGACAACGTGATTGTTTTATTTTCAAAGAATATGGAAATAGGAAATACCGTCAAACATTCTAAGCATGCATTCGTTTTTGATTCAGCCTCGTCCTGTCCTCTTTGTTTGTCATCCTAAAACATGTAAAGGAAAGATTATTACCCTTGTAATCAGAATGTCAAAGTTTTTAACAATACAAGTACTAACAACAATGGTATCGGTAATCAGAAAACGCATAATTTACACGAGTTTGTGAAATGTACCGTATCATTTCCTTCATTGATGTCTGCAGGGTTTGTTGTTTTCTTTGGCTTCTTTCGCTTGAGAACATTCACATAGGCAAACTCAAGTAACGCAGCAAACACAAAGAGTAGACACACGAGCATCCAAATATCTATTGCCTTGACGTAAGATACTGGCGGAAGTGACTGTCGTATACCAGAACTTTGTGTTGTCATGGTAAGCACGCAGGTTACTCCTAGAGAAACTCGAGCGGGAACGGCATTCGGATCAACCCAGAACGACACCCAAGACAAAACAACAAGTAAGATACTTGGTACAAACACTTGTAGAAAATAGAAACCGACTTTTCTCGTCATCACAAGATCTGCTTTTAACGCCGAGAAAGTTCCGACTGAAAAAAAAAAGCAATTTTAATCAAAGTTTATGGTTTAACTGTAAGCGTTTTCTTATTGGTCAAATACCATTGCTGCTACTGGGTAATTAATTTGCAGTTTGTTCTTCTTGGTTATCTTGAATATATTGAATTACTTTTGTTGAAGGCAGCCAATACCTGCATTGGCTTAGTAAGATGGTCCATCTGTTTATCTCCCCTGAAGTTTAAAAACATCATTCTTAAATCTATAGTCTATAGCAAACTAACTTTTTCATGTTTTGTATTTTTTCATATTTTTGGCTGGTCAGATTATGGTTTTCATTTTTTTTAATTAAATCTTTGAATAAATCATATGTGTTTGATATCTATTATTTAATATGAATTTGGTAAAATAGGGAAGCTTTAAACTAAAAATTATTCCTGATGGTTGAACTCTTTCATCTTTTGCACAAATGTTCAAAATTGTGTCTACATAATAATTATGCGATATTGAAGATGCCCAATTAATAAACAACTTTTACAGGTTTTCTGAACTCGCTTTCTTTCCATTCCATCAAAACTGACAGATACTTGTTCCAGTTAACCACATAAATAATATATGTTACTGTTATAGTATTGTTAAAATATGATTAACAAGATCAACAAGAAAAGGCGGCGTTCAAGTTTTCGATAAAATTGAACTATTGTTAATTATACATCACATCAAATTATCGTATGTGTTCTATTATTGGCTTGATCATAAGTTTAAGGAGCGTCCGATAGGTTAATGCCGTTGACATAAAACCAATTGCCCTTCACGGCCTTAGGTTCGTGTTCCGCAAGAGACTAGGGTACCGACGTTTTCAAGGAGGCATCTCTCTGTGTTCCTGCACAAGTGCGTGTTTGTTACATGTATTGAATGTTTGCACGGTTTGTGGTGTCCTATCTTGTTACATTGTCGTTATTTACCAAGATACTATTACACTTGGCCAAATATAAACAAATTTAAAAGTATAATGACTGCTTCTTCTAAAAACGTTATTATAAAATTAGCTAAATATATTCACTTATCATTTGAAAAAAGAAATACTGTCTAGTTTTCTGTTAATATTTTTTTCTTTATTTACAAACAATATTAATTGGAAATTCAATGTTAATCTTTGTGTTTCACTGTTATTTGCCTGTAATTATATAGCTATGTTAAATCCATCACCATACTGTTCTTTACTTAAATATTATGTATGTTTTGTACATGTATTTATTCCAAAATTTGTAATTGTATATGCAATGTTTTATGTTAAATTATAAACCGCCATTCATATAACTTGGCGATGAACGTGTAAAATGTTTATGCCAATAAACTATTTGACTTGACTTGACTTGTTAACGGTAAGCATAAGCATTTACCTCCCATGTCCCCTCTTGTCCTGCTTTTATGCCCTTCTTCCCCTCCCCCTTTTTGCTATACACACCCTGTCCCAATAATTCCCTTATCGGCCCCTTTTTGATCTTATCATTTTACTTCTTACTTATCCATCCCCTCCTTTCATCGCCCTTGTTTCCTCTCCCTATTTTTAGATCGGTGCTCTGCTGGTGTGATTGGATTGTGTCGGGGCCTGCGTTCCGTGAACGTCGCCATGCCTTGTTGATCTTATTTATCACTTTTCAGTGGTATATAATTCAAATAGACGTTGAAAGAGCACTACATATAAAACACACTAACAGACATATATTCTATATTCTGTTTTCCCATGTAAAAATATGTTCCATATATCTGAAGATAACTTTATGACAATACAATACTTTGTTTCGAGAAATCTAAATCGAATTAACAGCATCAGTATAATACTGCATTTTCTATGTTATGTCTAATTATGCTTATAATGAGGGAATGATGAAAGAATTCATGTTTGTGATAAAGTCCTGCACCAGGAGAACTTACTTGCTGAGTATTGATATTCGTAGTCATTGGTAACTATTTCATCTTCTAGTAACGTAAACTGTGGCATCTCAAGATGATCTGTGATAATACCCTGTCTCTCGTGCCAGTGTAACTTTATGTTGTCATTCGTGTAGCCAACTGAATATAAAATATCAACACGCAAATGTGCTGTTTTGCAACATATTTGCCGCCTTACTTATGTAAATCATATCATAACAAAGTACTGTAGAAAGCATTGAACTAGTTCCTATAAAAATTATGACTACCATAGAATGCTGTCATAACCATTTATACTATGAATAATAAAGAATTCCCAATCCATGTGTAGTTGTTCTCAGCAACACGTTAAACTTATGTATAATTGGTTGGTGATAATTTCAATCTTATAATGAACAATAGAACGATATTACTTCCTTTCTAAACTGTATTCTATACAGGTATATTCTAAATCGCAAACAAATAATCGTTCCTAAGCTTAAATGTAACGAGTTTACAATCAAAAGTGAAGTCTTTATGTTCCATGAATTAAGACATATATAGTGATTACCAAAATACGAAATAGTATGGAATGACAAAAAAAAGTTACAGCGATTCTTAAAGGAATCAAACTTACAACTCTGTATAGTAATAGAGCAATGCTGGTTATCGAATGGATAGTACTGTAACAACATTGTACATCCCAGGGACAAAGACAATCTGAAAAAGAAATGTTGCTCTTGAAACTTGAATAATCATGATCATTTTCAGCCATTTGTTGTTTTAAGTTAATTAATTACAATAACCTTTACGTTGAACTTCTCTGTTTTCTTTCTAATTTTATTTAACTTTGTTTTTTAAATTATGTACCAAGCTGGTTTTAAGATGATATAATACTTGTTTGAAAGAGTTTCATGTTTTTAAGCGACTGTAATGATGACATATATAAATTTGTTAGTTCACCATGAATGTACGTATAAATTTAGCAATACATGTACAAAAATGGACGACAGGACACCTGATGCTGTATACTACGGTTCCATTCCGGAATATATGCATCAATTTGTTTGTTGACGTCACGGTATGTACATATGCTCTCTTTTCATTTGGGAAGAAGATATCCGGTTGCCATACATTGTCGATATTCTTTGAATCAAGTTCGAGTTTAGTAGCACTTGTGGCGTTGCCAGTAAAATCTAGACGCGGATCTAGCCACCACATAAGTAGGTACACGTCTATAGAATATTCCTGTCGTAAAAATAATATCGGCAGTAAACGGTTACTCCTACAGAACGCACAACAGAAATATATGAAGTCATTGAAAAATCGGAATAGTTTCAAAAATTCTACGTCGGTGGTTTTAGAACTTCAGATATCCATCTTGACTGAGAAAATGTAACCCTAAATACTTAGCAGTTAAAATCAGAATAAAAAACAATCAGGCTGAACGTTGTCAGGATAATTTCGTCATAATTAATTACTGTATTGACTTTTTGTGTTTCTTTAGTAGACAAATGTGTTTTAGAAACGTTTCATTCAAACGATAAAATATTCTGTAAAGATGAACATTGTCATGATTATTATATGCTTACTGACATATTTCAAAGAGATAATTTGACCCCGTTAAACATTTTCATATTTATAATGTATATGTATTTCTTCTGTTTGCTTTTGCTTGGAAATGGGAGGCAAAACAATACGATACATTGCCTTGAAAGTATCGCGGACATTTACAATTAACATTTTTATTAAGTTTGAGAGATAACACTATCATCCAACACTTATGACGACTTTCAACTTCTTTGACTCAAATAAGAAATCAAGTCAGATGTAAGTTTTATATTTCGGCGGTGATATAAATCTTAAAATAAATGATGTTTTGTTAATTACCATTTTCTCTTCGCTGATAGAATGCATGTCGTGAATAGTGATTTGTATTGTAACATTTGTTGGAAATTCTGAAATAATCAAATAATTACAAGATAACAAAGATTTTCGACTATTGTTGATTTTTGATATTCAAAATTATAATCTAGACTACTTTGATATATTTAAAATTTTTTTCTTGATAGACATACTGTAGTACTAAATAATGTAGACTTTTTTTATCCATTACCCCAGATAGCCTTGTACGTATTGAAGCATGCAGATGCTCTTCCGTATTAAATCAATAACTTTACTGGATCATTATTCAATAAAATACAATAACTTAATGTGTGAATATTTAACATCTGAAAATTAAATAGATTTTATTTTAGCTTTGTCTGTGAAATGCATTATATGATGAAATATTCATGAAGGTTTGCAAATAAAGCATATCACATACCTTAGAGTTTTGAAGATATAAATAAGAAAATAATATACTCAGTAACAATCAAAAATGTTTAATCATTTGTATTTTTGATTTTATCTAGTATTTTTAAAGTTGTATAACGATAGTCTCCTATAAATCTGCGATAGATTGGCCATGCTTTTTATATATGTATTATGTAAATGTTTTGTACTATGTAAATATGCATGGATGAGACGTAAATAAACAAATAAACTAAACTACCTTCATCAAAGTCAGGAACAATATTAGCATCATATCTAGAGCCGTTTAACAAATAAGCAGTAATCTCTCGTCTGCAAATATTGAATCATTAATTCATAATTCTATTAACGTAAAAGTATATCCGCATGTTAAACAAGTATAAAAATTGCATGGAATAACAAAGCGGAAGTTTTGATATATTACATTCACATACAAATATTTAAGGCTGCATTAGTCGCTGTGAAGGAGTTACTTTTATTCAAGACTTCAGACGATTTTTATCACCCATATTTTATGACATAATTCAAAAGAGGGGACACTTTAAATCTAGAAGTCTATAGATCTATTTTTCGAATTGTTCGGGACACGAAACCACAGTTATTTTAGTCCTGTGAATTTAAGCCCAATTATGTTATTTCACCTTAACAGACTGTTAAGCACGTGAATTTAAAAGAAATGAAAAACTAAAAGATTTTTCTTAAGATTTAGTGAAAAGAAAATAACCTGCTCATTTGAAATTTTCTGACGTATTTAACCAATGAATTTTCCAATAAAATGTTAATTTTATTAATGAAAAACACAACATATTTAGAAGAGTATAACATTTTTCTTTACCTTGACAAATCCTCACATCTGCTGGTTGAGAGAAGTATTCCAGAAAACACAATAATTGACGTAATTTGATTTGTATTCATTTTTCTAACTTTACATAATTAGTAATTAAAAATGACTGAGAGAATGAAACAAAGACCATTACACCTCACAAATTAAGAACATTAAGCAGTGTGTAACAAAGGGATATCGTAATTGGTCTCACGCGCATCAAGGACATTCCAACATATATAGTAAGAATCAATATGTCAAGCAACATTTGTCACCAATAGAAATAAGCCTCTAAATGACGTTTATTATTGGAATGTTTTTCAAAACAAAATGCCTCCTTTCTCGTATTTGGGCCCAAGACTCTTTATTTTTTTTAATTCTTATTGAATTCCAATCATGTCAACCTTAAAAATGTTCTATCCAAAACCATTATTTCATAGAGAAATGTATTTGGCAGATTTATGTAGAAAAGCATTTCCTTAATACTTTTCTCTCGCTGTACAAATAAAGAAAACAACGTCTCAAGTGCTAAAAACGTCTTTAATTGATATGACGTACAAAAAAGAAATTGAAGTTCAATGATTTCATTTGGAATATCAAAGTTACAAGTAAGCATTTTTTACTAGGTAAAAAGGTTAGAAATGAAATAAACCAATCAATATATAATGTTATAGTTTATGAAGTGAAACAGGATTTCGGTTACTACATATATGCAGATAGATCTAAACTTATATTACAGAATGACGCTCATACTGGGGTTACAGGGAATCCAGATAATTGTTAATCGCAAAATGATCAAACTGATGTAGCCTGCATTTTTTAATTGGGGACCACACGCCGCTTTTCATAGAATAGCACTAACGTGTCACTTTAAAGGTTTCTTGAGAACCGCCGTATGAACACATATGCGCAAAATTTCACCATTTTCATGTTTAAATGTTGAATTCTGCTTAAAGCGGTGCTAAATGGCGTGAACGGTAGTTTGCACTTGACAGTACCGTCCATGAACAGGCTGAATAAAACCGAGCCTGCAACATTTTAAATCTTGCCATTTTAGACTTTAGGGATTCCTATTTTCTCTGATTTCTCTATTTTGTATAATAAACACCCTTTTTCATAAAGTATGTAACATCTAACGCAAACTGTGTGTCTAACGAAAAATAAGGAACGAAAATAGATACATTGTGTATATAATCATATTGTTTCTATTTTAACGAATATAATTTTCTGAGTATGAAAATGTATACTACCGAACAATAACTGGGCTATACATTAAAATAAAATAATATTTAGCATAAAATAATTTACTAACCCAGTTATCATTAAATTCAATGTTGAAAGAAAATATCAAACAATCTCAAACGATGATAATTGTTGTAACTATCTTTTATGGATTGTTCAGGACAATTAAATGGCTATAAATTTAAAGCTACATGCCTCCAGACGAGTGAAAACATTTCAAGAAAATTTAAAATTGAGACCAATGTACTAAGATTTCAAGAAAAGTGAACATATATACAATTCAAGAAAATTTACTTGTTTTGTGCGATTTAGGACTGATTTTGCAATATTCAGCACCATATGACTAAAGCGTTACTAGCGCAGTAAGGACTACTTTTCCTTACTTTGACCCTTTTCCGTAATTTACGTGGATTGCAAGCGCTGTTTACAATGTAAAACCTTTTTTTATTTGTTCAATTCACTTCACAATATTCTATTATTTTAATACATTTTAAATAAAAAAGTCCGTGTAATCCCGTAGTGAACATAATTTAGTAATAATGCCAATATTAGAAAATAACCAAGAATGTATAATATACAATAACAAACAGACTGACTTTATAATCATTACCAAAGTCATCGTCACAGGCACTAGCATGGATTATATTATTATTGTCGTTTTGGGCGTTCTTAAGTGAGACGGTTTTTCACTTTTTTCAATGTTATAAATATTTCTTACTTGTACAAAACCAATAGAATTGATGTATCTAGACACTACAATTCTAAAACAATAATAAGCTGACATAAATATTTACACCGCTGTTTAGTTTCATCAGTGCGTGACAATTATTGATCGGTCACATATATTATTTACAACCAATATATTACTTTTTAGCGTTTCGATGCAGACGAGAAAAAAAACACAAGGATATATATCGCATTTGTGAAATAAATTTATCATAAGTTTCATGTGTTTTGTTTATTCATCATTAATATTTCACAGTTCATTTATGTCAAACTCATTATAACCTGTCACAGATCGTCAAACCATTTGATCGACGCGATATTTCCATCACGGGTATGTCTAATCAGCTTACTTTTTCAGTTTACTAATGTTTTAAAAAAATGTGAGAAAGAAATTAAGTAAACGTTTTTATTGATTTTTTATTCTTCCATTCATAAATAATTGGAAAGCAAAATAAATAACATAAAATGTCAAATTCGTGTGATTATGAACAAAACCTGTATTTATAGATAATTAACTAGTGTCAAGGATCTACCAGAATAAATCTATCGAAACTTTATATACCAATTCTTTATATGTCTTATCTTCAATTGTAAGATCTCTATGTTTGATGTATACAGATTGTGTAAACGTCCTTAACCTAAATGTTGCACCAAATATAGTGTCACAACCTAAACGTTGACCCAAACAAAGTGTCAGCTACAATCCTCGGCCCTAGTACGGCTTATGCAGTATTCATTATTAAACCATGCCCACCGTGCTTATCCAGTAAGGCAGGAATGTGCAAATAACGTAAAAGTAACGCCGAATCTGTGCAAATGTATTGCCAAAACGAATTACACAGTAAGTAAGCAAACCAAAATATTTTATTCTAAATCAAATTCATAGTAATTAATCAGCGCATACGGCTGCCACGACATTATACTTTAACTAGCATTAATGATTTTTTTCCAGGAATATGTTTATTTCTTTAGATCATGCGGGAGATAGACAATCTGATTACCGTTTTGAAGGTGACTTCGTCAAATAAATATGTTTATTTAACACATTTTAAACATTAAATTTTCATAGTCTGTATACCAAAGACATTCGTTAAACTACAAGTGTCGCATAACAATCGAAGGAAACTGGTCAAATAAGATTGAGCTTCTTTGAATGAGATACATCCACGAATTCGGCGTTACCTCGTAAAAATGGTATCTATTATGTTTTATCTGCTAAATTAAATGTAATATGACATGAGTAGATTGGAAAATGTCCCGGGTTCACCCAATCGTAAAGTAATATGTATGTTATTGTATTTAAAGATATCAACAAAACTAAAATCGCCATTAATACGCGAATCAGGTCGTCATTTTCACGAATGGTCCTGAAAAAATGAACATCTTCATGGAAATATTTTGATGAGGTTTAAAGTATAATGTCTCAGCAACCGTATGCGCTAAATGATTTCTTCCAGTTTTGTGTACAATAAAAAATATTGGTCCATTTACTTATCGCAGCGCTCGTTTTGGCCATTAAATTGCACAATGCTCCATTACTTTTGTACAATTTCTGCGTTATTTGCACATTCCTGCGCCACTGGATATACTCGTTGATGCCATTGTTGAAATTTTGAATGTGTAAACATCCACAAAAATGTTCATGAGACGGTGGTCACGGAAGCTTCAATGTGACACGTCCACGACGTTCCATGAAAAGTGTCGTATTGTGCTAAAGTAAAAAAGAATGCATTTGGCCGGAATGGAAAAACATCAAGGTAACGAAATAAAATGGAATTTGGAAAAATGATCGAAGGTTGTGTAGTCTGCATGTTACAGACATAAGTGCAGGCAATATATCGTAAAGAAAATATAACCTATTCAAGAAGGAATACTGCAATCACACAAAAAAACTTGAATATTCTTATATAATATTGCTAGAAAAGAAAATGTCGATAAATTTCTAAGTGATTTGAACATTTATATGATGAATTATAATACATTTTTGTATTTTGTTCTTGAACATTATATCATTGCCTATAAAATATATATATCGGGTTGTCTATCTCACACTAACCAACCATATCTATATATAATCATTTAGTGATTTGTTGTTATGTTTGATACTAAAAACTATCAAATAATTTGTCGTATTAAAAACCTACCATAATAGACCAATTCACTAATTCTTAAGTACTGGTCAGTTGTTGCAAAATAAGTACCAATACCAGTACTTACATATATTTGTCATATTTTGCATAAAGTGTAACTGTTTTTACCCAGATTCTTTTGTCAAATTAGTTTCCAACAGAAAGTACAAATAATCAAGTATAATGTTCAATTCTGCATTTATTTTCTTAAAAATTGTCTAATTTTTAAACTAAAGTCAGGAAATTAACATCTGAAAAACTTAACAACGATATAATTCTTTATTCTGCCTTACTAACAAGCCACATTTTAAAGTATTAAAAATGACAACGAGTTTTAGCTTTTTAAGATTTAAAAAATAGTGGCCAAACAATGAACTATTTCCCTTATTTTCAACTAGAAATGGCTAAGTTCTAACAACAGGTAAGATGTACCATGCATGTGTCTGTAAACCAGCAGCTAAAGTGAGCGTTTCCGTTCAATTTATACCCTTTTCATACCAAAATGCATGACAATTCCATGCACAAATTTAACGCATATTGAGGGTGTTTACAAAAGTAGCTACTGATTTAAATGATAACAAACAATATTATAAACCTACACAAAATGTTTTTTTTTTACAGTTTATGAGTTATAGATGTAAGGTTTCTTGTTGCTCTGTCTTTCTTTAGGACATTGAGTACTTTTGTTATGGTCATTGGGTTTACTTTCATATGTTTCTACATGATCATTTTAGTGTTTTACTTATTTCACCTTTTGTAACCATGACAACTGTTAGAATTTCACTTGGCGGGGATTCATTTTATTTACACTGTCTCGTTTATAGGAACATGGTGGGGCTAAGAGCGAGGTTTGGTGCACCATTAACCGGTTTAAACTCCCCAGCAGTCATTATTATGCTGCTGACCGTTCCAAGGCGGCGCCCCACTGTGTTCCTCAGATGTATGTCTATGTTGTTTCATACTGTTTTGGTGACACTTTTGCTTGTGTCCCTTGTTGTTTTCTCGTCTACGGTAAGTATCTTCCCCTTTGCCTCTAGTTTTTATTTCTTTGATTACCCCCCCCCCCCTTCCCCCGGTCTCCTGTCCCCTTCC